CCGTGACTTGGCGAGGTTGGCGATCAGACAGGGGGATTGGGCATGAGGGTTTGGGCATTAAAGGAAGTGGGGTTTCGGTTCAGGGTGTTGGGTAGGGCGATCTTGGGTGGGGCAAGTCCCATGAGGCTGGCGCAAGCTCGCAGATGAATTCTGTACTGTGGACCCGGATCCTCAAGAACTGGACCCGTCCCTCAGAGCATCGTTTCATTGCTTAAACCCTAAGCCCTAAGCCCTCAATGCCGCGCCTCCGAACCTTCAAAGGGAAACCCCCTGGTGTGCTGTGCCTTCCCGCCGCAGCCCTTTGTTGTCTCAACCCGACTCCATCAACTACCCCTTCATGTCGGTGGCCGCGGCGAGCGCCCGCACGACCCTGGGTCAGTGTTGACAAGCAGTTTGCTGCACTTTTTTTGAGAGATGAAGTCCTTCAACCCACCCAAGGAACAAGCATGATAGTTTTAAGAGTAGCACCTGCTACATGTTTTTATGAGTACTTAAACCCAAGAAGGAGCAAAAACGATAACTTTAAAAGCAGTGCCCCTCACCATCATCGTGCAGGACCGGACCTGCCCTGTGAGCGGCGCCATTTTTGATGTGCGGGGCCCGGTCGGGCCCAACATCGGGTCGGAATCATTTCCATGATCACCCCTATAACTATGCTATAATAGCCCCTGTAACTATACTATAATAACCCCCATAACTATACTATGATAACCCCTATAACTATACCATAACAAGCCCCAAAACCCTATTCTAGTTCTTAAAGCCCCATATCAAAGCATTCGGGGGCGTGCGGGGCGATGGGTTCAGGTGCAGGAGCTGCTTCAGGACTTGGCACTAGAGCCGAAACGGCATGATGTGGTTTCAAGTCAAAGTTTAGGGTTTAGGGTTTAGGGTTTAGGGTTTAGGGTTTAGGGTTTAGGGTTTAGGGTTTAGGGTTTAGGGTTTAGGGTTTAGGGTTTAGGGTTTAGGGTTTAGGGTTTAGACACCACCGGACTTCGAGCCGCCAGAATCCCTTTAAACCCTGAAGCCTTCAAAGGCAGGGTTTTAGGGCTTTCTGGGTTTCGGTTAGTTTAGGGTTTAGGGTTTAGGGTTTAGGGTTTAGGGTTTAGGGTTTAGGGTTTAGGGGGGGTCCCGGGTGTAGGGGCTTCGTTTAGGGGGACCGGGAGGTTTGGGGTGTCTTTTTTTGGTTTTCCACGGGTTTGACGGGCTTCAGGGGCTCTGCAAGAGTCTGGCCAACGCAGGCCCGGTGCCATCGCCAGGCGCCTGTAGGGGAGTTGAGGGCAAAGGGCTGCACGTAAAAACCCTAAGGGCCCTAAAAAACCCTAAGAACCCTAAGAACCCTCACAGCCCAAAACCTTGGAAGCCCCTAACGGGTTCAGGGCGCTAATTCAGGGCGGTTTTCGAGCACCTCCGGCGGCGTTAGGAGTGTTTTAACGGGAGGGTGTTCGGGGTCTCGAGGTTTGGAGGGAACTTCATTAACCCTAAAACCACAACCCTCAACCCTCAACTGGGGTTCTACTCTCTAGGACTTCACTCTAAACCCTAAACCCTAAACCCTAAACCCTAAACCCTAAACCCTCAACCCTAAACCCTAAACCCTAAACCCTAAACGCTAAACCCTAAACCCTAAACCCTCAACCCTAAACCCTAAACCCTCAACCCTAAACCCTAAACCCTACGAGCCCTGAAGCCACACATCGGGAGGCTTACGATTCTGGCCAGCTGCCTCTGCCGGGTCTGCCTGGGGGATCACGAAGACCTCTGCAACGGAGATCTAGCTCCTGGCCACTTTAGGGGTTTAGGGTTTAGGGCTTAGGAGTTAGGGTTTGGGGTTTAGGGTTTAGGGTTTAGGGTTTGGGGTTTAGGGTTTCGGGTTTAGGGTTTGGGGTTTAGGGTTCCGGGTTCAGGGTTTCGGGTTTAGGGTTTTGGGTTTCGGGTATCTCGGCCGCCAGCCTTTAGTTCGCCCAAGATGACACGTACCATCAAGGGACAGCGCGCTTTCAAACTGAGCCGAAAAAAGAGCGCCCGAAGGTTGAGACCCTGGATCTCCTGAGGCACGAATCCCTCCATTTCCGCAGCCACACGCACGGAGTCCTGTAATTTCCAGCGCTTGCCGTGTATGCCCTAGAACTAGAACGTACAGGCCCGCCGCCACACAGCCAGACAACAACCTGCGTACCCTCCTGAACCCGAAGCCAAGGCCCAACCCCCAAAGCCCAAACCCAAGGCCCGAAACCTGACACTAAACCCTAAACCCTAAACCCTAAACCCTAAACCCTAAACCCTAAACCCTAAACCCTAAACCCTAAACCCTAAACCCTAAACCCTAAACCCTAAACCCTAAACCCTAAACCCAAACCCCTAAACCCAAAACCCTAAACCCTAAACCCTAAACCCTAAACCCTAAACCCTAAACCCTAAACCCATAAGCCTCAGACCCTTAACCCAAAAGTTCGGGAGCTCGGCCACTTCAAGCACGACCCGAGGTGGGGGATGGAAATGACACGATGCTCTGCGCCTCAGCTCAAAAGGTAGGTTGCTGACGAGTTTTGTAGGACCCGAAGGCCTGAACCCGAAATCCTCAACCCTCAACCCTCAACCCTAAACCCTAAACCCTAGACCTAAACCCTAAACCCTAAACCCCAAACCCTAGACCCTAATCCCGAGGGTCTCGCCGTGTTCCGGTCGTCTGGGGTGTGCGCCTCAAGGTGACGAGCAGGATGTGAAGACGTGCTCCCAGTACTACACCGTTGCAGGAGCCGGTGGTTGGTTTAGGGTTCTTTTTGGGCCTACAGGGTTTATAGGGCGTTTTGGGTTTGTAGAGTTGGAACTGAAGAAGTTTTTGGAAGTGGGCTGTTGACTTGACTTGAGTTTAGGCCTAAACCCTAAAGGGAGTTGGTTTGGGCGGTTTTGCCGCCTGAGACGGCGTGGGGTGGGATAAAGAAGTTAGATGGCCCACCACTATTGGGCCGCTGCTCTTCGCATTTCCCGACAAGCGAGTCTGCATCCCAACTTTCACAGCTTCTGCGCCCTTTCACAGCAAACCCTCAACTGACCAAAACAAAGAAACATGAAAGGACTGGACACCTACCTCCAGTGCGGCGTCTCCGGGCAGTACTGCCTGAACCTGGGCCCGGTCTGCAAGAAGGCCGGGCTAAACCCTAAACTCTAAACCCCAAACCCCAAACCCTAAGCCCTAACCTAAACCCTGAACCCTAACCCTAAACCCTACACCCTAAACCCTAAACCCTAAACCCTAAACCCTAAACCCTAAACCCTAAACCCTGAACCCTGAACCCTAAACCCTAAACCCTAAACCCTAAACCCTAAACCAGTCCCCGAATCCTTAAGCGAGGCATCCTTCGGAACGATTGAGATCGACGGCAAGGTCTATGAGAGGCGGGGCCCAGACTTTCTTTCGGCTGAGGGGGGGTTTAGGGTTTAGGGTTTAGGGTTTAGGGTTTAGGGCATTCAGCCAAACTGTTCTTGAGTTCGTGGCTGGCATGTTGGCCAGGGACGCATGCAGACGCGCTAGGCCGCCAGGCTTGACATGACCTTGCTGAGAAACACCACCTACCGAAGGGCTCCCCATTTCTTCGTGCCATGCTTCCAGTCGACCCTGTGCTCGGGAGGGGGGAGGCCCCAATCGCCCAGCGGCATGCAGGTTCTGGTGGTACAGGCTGGGCTCGTCCTGGCCCGAAGGCACCCTGTCCAAGTAAGGCATAGTGACTAGCCTAAGGGAGCTCAACGGTGCCAAATCTCTCGAAGAAACCATGCCAATCAGCCCAACCCTAAACCCTAAACCCTAAACCCTAAACCCTAAACCCTAAACCCTAAACCCTAAACCCTAAACCCTAAACCCTAAACCCTAAACCCTAAACCCTAAACCCTAAACCCTAAACCCTAAAACACCAGACCTCCACCTGACGCCATAATCCTCAAAGCCCAGCAACACCCCAACGCCGCCCGAATGCATCCTGGTAACGCTCTGCATGCCGAAGTCCCCACCAGAAAAGCGGTGTACTTCAGAGGCTAAACCCCGAACCCTGAACCCTGAACCCTGAACCCTGAACCCTGCACCCTGAACCCTGAACCCTGAACCCCAAACCCAAACCCCAAACCCTAACCCTAAACCCTAAACCCTAAACCCAGACCCTAAACCCTAAACCCTAAACCCTAAACCTAGACCCTAAACCCTAAACCCTAAACCCTAAGCTTCAGAAAGGGAGTCTGTAGGGGCCCCTACTTCCCGACTAGGAACCACTCCGTTGCCAAGGGAAGAGTGACGTGTTGGCGGACGTGTTCGGCACCTGCGAGGACGAAGATGAGGCGCGGCCCGAAGATTCTGAGAGCTGTTCAACGGATACCCTAAACCCTAAACCCTAAACCCTAAACCCTAAAACCTAAACCCTGAACCCTAAACCCTAAACCCTAAACCCTAAGGCTCTTTGTATCACATCCTCCTAATATGGCCCTTATGTAGTATGTGAAGGATCTTGAAAAAGGGTCTCCCTTGCATCTTCAAGGCGCAGGGGGGGGGGGGTGGTTTGCAAGGGCTTGGGATGTAAAACGTAGGGTTTGTGGCATATGTACTATGGGAGTCGGAAGAATTACCAATATCATTCCCTTAGGGTCCCTTTATCATGATACTATAATCACCCCCAAAACCCTAATAATTCTAATGAGCTCTCGATATTATATACGTTTTCGTTCCTTCACAGCTTTGCCCACTGCTGGGTTTGCCAGAAACCCGAAACACCTCTTCACACGCTCTGAAAAGGGGGGGGGCAGGGCCTGTTTTTTTGATGGGGCAGTGGGGGGGGACCTTGAATGTCTACAGTGCGTTGTTTAGCACGCTCACCAGGACCCAGGGTTTAGGGTTCAAGGAACCTTCCTGGCTGCCGCTTGCATTCAAGCCTTGCTAAGATCAGGCCACCAATCCGTCTGCTAGCAGGCGTTGCCTCCTTGTTATTTCCATATAAGGCACCAGTAGCAGGGCCATGCTCTTCGTCTCATGCGTCGCCCTGATGTTCGGAGTTCCTGAGGGCCTCCGTCCAGCTGCGGAGATGCTTGAGGCGCGCAGCGATGCCTGCTGCTGCAAAGACACCTTCCAGAGGCATAACATGCGGAATGAGAAGATCACCGAGGCCATGGACTTACTCACCTGCCAGACGTTGAAGCAAAAAAGGCCCGACCGGCCGTTCTGGTGGCATGGCGGGGAGGGCCAGTGCTGTTGGACGAGCGAGTGGTTCTGCACGCCCGCCCTTGTGGATGTGTTTCTGGATCTCGATGGGGGTGGCGGCGAGAAGGTCTCGGGCACCTCAGTTCAACGCAAGTGCCCATCTGCAAGCCCCCGTGGAACGGTGCAGCCCCATGACACAACCTATGCATACAATCGCATCATGGCGGACCTCGAGGGGAAGATTGCCAAGATGCTCATCAAGAAGGCGGCCGACATTGCATGGGGGGCGGCAATTGCACAGTCTGTTGTCGGTGGCGACGTGGCCGATGCTGTGGGGCACGCAAAAGATACCCGGGATGCGATTCTTGGTCATAGTTGGGTAGCATTTTGCATGTTTAGGGGCGCCTAAAACCCAATGAGGAATAGAAATTTTCTTTTCAATACTCTCCCAGCCATGAACTAGGATTGTCTACGGCCGGGGGGGAGCTTTCGATGGTACCACCCGCCATGTTTCCCCGGGCCGAAGCCTGGGATGCAAAGGGGAGGTCCACTACAGCTACGTGGGCGAGAAGACCGGAACGGCCACTTTGTGGTACTTTACTATAACTTTAGATCTTTAGCCTTTTTGGGTCTATTGGGTTTCTTAATAAGGCAGCTAAGATTTTAATAGCTACCCTCCTAAGTGCAGCCAAGGCCAGGACCCAGGAGATGTGGAAGGCCCTGGGGGTGAATGGGCAGATGAAGTCGGACTGGCTTCACGTTCAGGAGGGCTTGAATGGCAGCTGCTTCGTAGAAGTCCGGGATCCCGCGTCCTACCGGCCGGAGCACTGCATCACAGATGACCCAGAGATTGATGAGCTCTGTGTGGAGAGGGACGAGGGCACCGGTACAAGAGGCTTCTACATGAAAGCCAACATGGACCTTTCGAAAGAGGTGAAGCAAACCACCGACCCAACCAGGCTATACGGGTACGACCCGACGGACCACTACGACGACGCAAACTACGGCGTACGCATCGAAGAGCCAGAGGTCTGGTTTGACGACCGAAAGAAGAAGTGCTACAAGATGGGCCAGATGGATGCCATTGAAGTCACCTGCCCGCCCGAGGAAGCAGCGAAAGTCCGGTGCGACCGGAAGATCCGCTCTTGTTACAACATGGTTGGGGGCTTCATGAACATCAAGTACCCTTGCCCGGCAGGGGTGTACTGCCCTTAAGAGCGTGATGGAAAAGCGCGCCCCCTCACGCCTTGCAGAGGCAGCAAAAGCTCTTTCCAGGTCCTCCAGGATCCACAATCTGACCCTAATGTCCACCCCTTCTGCAGGTCTGCTTCCAGCGGCTTCCCAGCAAGGTCACTGAGAACGGCTTGCTCCTGCTGGCCATTGAGCCTTCGATTCAAAGAACCCTAAGCCCTATACCCTAAAACCCTAAACCCTAAACCCTAAACCCTAAACCCTAAACCCTAAACCCTAAACCCTAAACCCTAAACCCTAAACCCCTAAACCCTAAACCCTCAACCCTCAACCCTCAACCCTCAACCCTCGACCCTCTCTTCCTTTGTATGTTGAAACCTTACTGGAGGTCGTGGACCTATTCTGGTCGTTTAGGATTTAGGATGTAGGGTTCAGGGGCCTCTCTGGGGCAGTTAGCGGGGCCGTTGAGGTTTGGGATGAAGGGTTTAGGATTCAGGGTTTAGGGTTTAGGATTTAGGATTCAAGATCTAGGATTGGGTTTATGGTTTAGGATTTTGGACTTAGGCTGTAGGTTAAACCCCAAACCCTAAACCCTATACCCTAGACCTCCTTCCCTGTCAAAGGGCTTAGAAGTTCCCTTATACACCCCTCATGACGCAAGCAATGGCACGTGTGTGGCAGGGTTTGGCAACTGGGGAGTAGCCTGAGCCCTCCGAGCTCAGGGTCTTCAGGATGAATTTAGGGTTTAGGGTTTAGGGTTTAGGGGTTAGGGTGCAGGGCTTAGGGCCAAAACAAGCCCTCCACAACCCTCCCCCCCAAACCAAAACCCAAAATCCTGTGAAGGTTTTGGCGGGCTCCTAGATGACCGCCGCAGGTTTCAGGTTTAGGGAGTTTGGGGTTCAGGGAATTTAGGGTTTAAGGGTTGTGGGGTTTAGGGATTAGGCTCTGGGGTTTGGGGAGTTTCGGGGTTTAGGGGTTTCGAGTTTGGGGTTTTAGAGTTTAGGTGTTAGCGCACCGTTAGGATGACTTGGACAACCAGCTCGTCTGGTCTTTCGATGCGGAGAACCCTGTCGCCCACGCCGCGTTTAACGCGCTGAAGCGCCTTGGCGGTCGAGTGAGCTGCGGGTTGAGGGTAAATCCCTAAACCACGCCACAAACCCCGTCTCCCTAAACCCTAAGCTCTAAGCCTCAAGCCCTAACCCTTAAGACCCTGAATAAGACCCTAACTGTGTAGAGGATTCGGGGAGTAGGGTCTCGACCCAAACGCCCCCCTATTAAGGGAGCTCCTAGACTCCTAAACCCTGTAGGGTTAAGGGTTTATCTCAGCGTAGTCTCCTGGGCCCTCAATCTGGTCCCCGACCTCCTTCACAGGGTTCTGAAGTGTGGGCCCTTGGGTTGTATAGGGAGGGTTTTTGAAGGGTATATATGTGCCAGCAGAAGCGCACCCCTCCCTGCATGGACCCCCCCCCTTCTCGTGTAGAGTTGAGGGTTTCGGGTTCAAGGTTTAGGGATTTAGGGAGGGTTTTAGGGTTTTAGGGTTTAGGGTTTAGGGGGTTGGGGGTTTACGGGGTTTAGGGTTTACGGGGTTTACTGTAGGGTTTAGGGTTAAGGGTTTAGGGTTTTGGGGGGGCGGGGCGATACCATGCGGGGGGGGGATACCATTGAGGGGGGGGCCTTTTCAGGGCCATGTAACTTTTCTAAGAGTTTAGCCATCACTCCCTTGCCCTAAGAGTTTCCCCATCGCTCCCTTGCGGTAAAGAAGGCACGGCACCACCACGCACTTCATCAATGGAGCCATCTGGGATCCGCGCATCATCAAGGGCTCCAAGACGTCCAACCCGCAGGACACCTTCATGCCTTCCGGCGGCAACGGGATCTTCGCCGAAGCCCGATCATAAACGCTAAGCCCTAAAACCCGGAAGACCCGAAAACCGCCAAAGCCCTAGAACCCTAAAACCCTAAACCCTTAAATTCAACCCTAAGCCCTACTCCCTAAAACCCAAAACCCAAAACCCTAAACCCTAAACCCTACCGCTGTTGACATTGGCGCAGGTACCGGGATCAGAACGGCATCCGATCCTTCTTGCTACTTGGGCGTGTCCATGGACAAGGTTTTGCTTTCCTGTATTCCGAATATCTGTCAACAGCTACCACGAACGATACCAAACCTTCCTTAAGCCTAAAAACCTCAAAACCCTAAACCCTGAATCCCTAACCCCTAACCCCTGAACCCTAAACCCTAAACCCTAAACCCCAAACCCTAAACCCTAAACCCTAAACCCCCAACAGCAAGATGGGCCTAGGCTAGACGACGACGGCTGCGACTGTCACTCTACGCTTTCCATGGGCCACGGCATGTGCCACAACACCTGCGTGGAAAGATGGAGTTGCCGGGACTGGTTTAGGGTTTAGGGTTTAGGGTTTAGGGCGGCCTTACGGGAGGGGGCTGTTACAGGCTTTGTCTCTGTGTGTGTGTGTGTGTGTGTGTGTGTGTGTGTGTGTGTGTGTGTGTGTCTGTCTGTCTGTCTGTCTGTCTGTCTGTCTGTCTGTCTGTCTGTCTGTCTGTCTGTCTGTCTGTCTGTCTGTCTGTCTGTCTGTCTGTCTGTCTGTCTGTCTGTCTGTCTGTCTGTCTGTCTGTCTGTCTGTCTGTCTGTCTGTCTGTCTGTCTGTCTGTCTGTCTGTCTGTCTGTCTGTCTGTCTGTCTGTCTGTCTGTCTGTCTGTCTGTCTGTCTGTTGCGTATCAGGGGACGAATTTGCGGTTCTAGGGCTCAGGAGGCTTAGGGAATTCGAGGGGGTCCTCAGGTTTAGGGTTTGGGGTTTAGGGCTTTTGGCTTCGGGTTAGGGGTTTAGGGTTTAGGGTGCGTCCTTGCGCCAGAATTCAGAATTCGCAAGCAGAGGCAACTGCAAGATCATGGGGGGCGTGGACAAGCTCTCGGAGACCCGGCCTGGACACAAAAAGGGCCCCATGAACGCGACGCCGCGAGCCTCAAACCGAAAACCCTAAACCCTCAACTTTAAAAGCCCGAAGCCCGAAGCCCGAAACCCTAAACCCTCAACCCTAAACCCTAAACCCTGAAGCCCTAAGCCCTAAACCCTAAGCCCTAAGCCCTAAGCCCTAAGCCCTAAACCCTAAACCCTAAACCCTATAAGGACAAGGCCGACAAGCCAGGACTAGGCCCGTCGCTGGGTTTTCAGGGCTTCGACCAGCTTGGGGATTGTTTGGGCGCCGAATTACCTGCGGGGGTTTAGGGTTTGGGGCTTAGGGTTTGGGGTTTAGGGTTCAGTGTTTTGGGTTTTAGGGTTTAGGGTGTTAGGGGGCTGCCCCGTGGCCCCAAGCAAGCCCTGCAAGTTTGTCAAGTTTGGGGTTTGGGGTTTAGGGCTTTTGGGTTTTGGGCTTAGGGCTTCGGGCTTAGGGTGTAGAATCAGTGCAGCGTTCGAGGGTATTTGGAGTCTCGGTTTCGTGTAGAGCACCAACAGACCAAGGCACCTCTGCGAGAAGATGGGCCCCAAGCCCATAATCCTACATCCTAAGCCCTAAACGCTCATCTCCGCCCAAAAGCCCTCAAGCCTACGTCAATCTTCATGCCGCCATCTTGAGTTTCAAGTAAGGATGCCCCAGGCGAGGGCACAAAGTTCTTTGGCTTCTGCTTAGGGCCAAGGGGTTGGGATTTCAGTTTGGACTCAGGGTTCAGGGCTTAAGCCCTACATTTGATTCCCCTTCAGAGCCGCAGCAGGTGGCCGCTGCGGCCCTGCCAGCGACCATGGCCTCACGCTGTACTACCATCAGATGGCGGCCTGTTGGAAAAGCAATCGCCACCGTCGTTGTAGTCGTTGCAGTCGTGGCGATCATCGTCATCATCGGCATCATCGCAATCGTAGTCTCATGGGGTTTGGGGACCAACTACCCGCGCTCCATTGCACGGTGGGGGGGCAACCCTACCCTCAGCCCTCCACCCTGTAGTAAGCCCCTCAGCCCTCTAAGCCCTCAAGGCCCTGCCCTAAACCCTAAACCCTAAGCCCCAAGACCCTAAACCCTAAGCCCCTAAGCCCCTAAGCCCTAACGGCCCTAAACCCTGAGCCCCTAAGCCCCTAAGCCCTAAGCCCGAAACCCCAAGCCCTCAGTTCGGCCCAAGGCTCTCATCCACACCCCTACAGGACCCTAGGGTCTAGGGTTTAGGGTTTAGGGTTTAGGGTTTCGGGTTTAGGGTTTAGGGTTTGGGGTTTAGGGTTTAGGGTTTAGGGCCCAACACAAAGTGCCACTCAGGCACCCGTGCCCACTTGCGGAGGCACCTCGAATGGCGCCGCCACCTGGCCTAAACCCTAAACCCCAAACCCCAAGCCATAAACCCTAAACCCGAAACCCCAAACCCTAAGCCCTAAACCCGAAACCCTAAACCCGAAACCCTAAACCCTAAACCGCAAGGTCCAATGCCAGTATTTTCCCCTTTCCCACCGAAGAATGAACCCGTGTGGCGGGGTTCAGGCCTGCTGAGGGTTTAGGGTTTAGGGTTTAGGGTTTGGGGTATGGGGTTTAGGGTTTAGGGTTTAGCGTTTAGGGTTTAGCGTTTAGGGTTTGGGGAAACTTGGGGTTCATGGCTTTGCAGGACTTAGGGATTCAGGGTTTAGGAAAGATGCCTCTGCACAGGAAGAGATGAGCCCTTAAGCCTCAAACCCCAAGGTCCTGAACCCTAAACCCTAAACCCTAAACCCTAAACTTTTAACCCTAAACCCTAAACCCTAAACCCTAAACCCTAAACCCTAAACCCTAAACCCTAAACCCTAAACCCTAAACTTTTAACCCTAAACCCTAAACCCTAAACCCTAAACCCTAAACCCTAAACCCTAAACCCTAAACCCTAAACCCTAAACCCTAGACCCTAAACCCTAAACTACGCCCAGATCTGCCGCTTTCCCTTCTACTACAAGGGCAAGCAGTACTTCGAGTGTACCGAGGCAGACTCTGTAGGAAAGCCCTGGTGCTCCTCGGCGGCACTTTTGAGGGTTTAGGGTTTAGGATTTCGGGTTTAGGGTTTCGGGTTTAGGTTTGTGGTTTGGGGTTTGGGGTTTAGGGTTTGGGGTTTAGGGTTTCGGGTTTAGGGTTGGGGTTTGGGGTGTGGGTTTGGGGTTCAGGGTTTAGGGTTTGGGGTTTAGGGTGTGGGGTTTGGGGTTCAGGGTTTAGGGTTTGGGGTTTGGGGGTTAAGGTTTGGGGCTCCGGGTTTTAGGCTTCGGGTTCGTGCATCATGCATGAACGTGTACGCTTGTTTGCAAAGGTCCCTTGGGATGGCTTAGCTGCGCTTTTCTAGGTTTAAGCCGTTGGGATTTCAGCGGTAGGGTTCCCTTAAACCCTAAACCCTAAACCCTACACCCTAAACCCGTAACGAAGCCCAGGCTACACCACGGCCGGCAAGAAGAAGTGGGGCAACTGCAGGTGCAACGAGGCACCTTTCAGGGAGCAGTTGACGCTTGTAATTTCGCAGGGTTTTGCAGAGTTTTTGAGGGCGTGGTTCTTTGGGGGGGTTCAGGTTGCAGGGTTTAGGGGCTTTTTGGGGCTTTTTGTAGGGGCTTTTTAGGAAGCTTTTTAGGGGCTTTTTGGGGCTTTTAGGGGCTGTTTAGGGGTGTTTTAGGGGCTTTGGACGCTTTAGGGGTGGTTGATGGGGTCTCATGAGACTGATGGGAGCTTCAGGCCGAGCGGCGTTGCCACACCTTCGTGAACTGGCGGAAGAAGTGGCTGGGGAGCCATGTGGAGTCGGGCCCTCAGCTCTTTGTGGTTCTTTACTGCAACTTTAGATCCTTAGCCCTTTTGGGTTGAATACCCTAAACCCTAAACCCTAAACCCTAAACCCTAAACCCTAAACCCTAAACCCTAAACCCTAAACCCTAAACCCTAAACCCTAAACCCTAAACCCTAAACCCTAATCCCTAATCCCTAATCCCTAAACCCTAAACCTTAAACCCTAAACTCTAAACCCTAAACCCTAAAAGTTTAATTTATAAATACAACCAGGAGCTCATCGTTGTCTGTTCTTGAGGGGCCTAACTCCGCCCTGAGGACTCGGCCCAAGTCCCTTTTGAGCCAGCCCCTCCCCGTCCTTCAACCCTGAAATAAGCCCTAAACCCTAAACCCTAAATCCTAAACCCTCAACCCTAATGTGAACATCTTGAGGTCTGATCAGACAGCACATCCGTTGCTGCAGGCTCTTGCGGGGCAGGGCTAGGGTTGGGTAGTCAGAGCCATATCCAGCGCGGACGCTGGACGGATAGAAGGAGGAGAAGAAGGAAGAGAAAAAGGAAGACAAGCAGGCGCTTAAGCTGTAGGAGCGGCGTGACTTGGCCAATCAATTCAGATTGGTAGCGGGGCACTGGGCCCCTGCCTGTTTCAGGCGAAAGGGGTGGACAGGGCGACCGCGGCTGGCAAGATCACAGCCAGTCAACATGGCAACTACCTCAGATGGAGGTGGTGGCAGCACCGCGGCCGGTGCAAGCGAAGATCGGAGCTCGGGTTTTTGGAACCTTCTTCCTGGATTCGATCCTTCGAGTGATGATCCTCGAGAGTACCGCGACAAGGTACAGTTCCTTCACAAGGTGTGTCCACCGAAGGATCGGGGCATGCTTGCCCCTCGACTGGCTCTGTTGTGCAAGGGCACAGCTTGGAGCCAGGTGAAGCAAATAGACGCCTCGAAGCTCACTGATCCAGAGTCAGGGGTAACGACACTCCTCAAAGCCCTGGAGACCTGGGATGAGTCAGCTGAGCTGCAGACATATGAGAAGTTCGAGAAGGCAATCTATCGTACTCTGCAAAAGCAGGACGAGTCAACCATGTCGTTCGTGAATCGACTTGGAGTTGCTTTCCATGATCTCGGCGACACCATGACAATCAAACAACTTCATGCATTCATCTTGCTTCGACAAAGCGCGCTGACTGCAGAGGACAAGAGGAAGGTCATCACGTTGTCAGGTGGAGACATGGAAGTGAGCAAGGTGGAACAAGCGATGCGAACCTTATCAACACGGATCCTCAGCATGGGAGGAGACATCAAGAAAAAGACCTATCCCGCTAACTTTGCCGAGGAAGATGACGAGGAGGCCCTGATGATCGAGGAAGAGGCTGACGAAGATCAGCTGTTGGCCAATTTGGCCGAGGCAGGGGACGAGGACGGGGTGTTCATCATGGAATATGAAGAGCAACTGCTGGATCTGGTACAGGAAGTGCCAGAGTTGGCCTCATGCTTCTCAGCATACACGGCAGCAAGACAACGACTCCGAGATCGTCAGAAAGGACGTGGCTTTTGGCCACCTCGTGGTGGCAAAGGTGGGAAAGGCAAAGGAGGCAAGAAAGGTGGGCGTGGAGGAACAGGGCAGCCATTCCGAAAGTCGTTGGCTGAAAGGATAGCAAACAGCAACTGCAGGATCTGCGGACAGCGAGGGCATTGGCGTGCCGAATGCCCGCAGCAGAAAGGGTCTCAAGGGCATCCCAGTGGCAGTGCGAGCTCCGAAGCTTCCAACCTTGTTCTCTTCACCACCGAGGCCAACACCGAGCCGGAGATTGTGGACCGTCTTCCTCAGAACCTTGGCGTGCCGACGACCCAGAAGAAGAAAGAGAAGGTCTTGCCAGTCCCCGCCTTAATTCAAGAACAGCATGAGTTAATGTTTTATGGTCAGCATGAAAACCTTGTTGATCACACCCGACCCTGGAAAGCCCATGCAGCATCTGATGGACAAGCGAACTTAAGAAAGCTACGACGAGCCTGGAATAAGCTAAGGGGAAACGATGAGCACCCTGAACAGGCGATGTTTGTAGGTAGAGCCGAGACCGCAATCCTTGACACGGGGGCGAGCAAAACAGTGGCCGGTCAGGTGAACTTTGATCGCTTTGTCCAACAGCTTTCTAAGTCAGTTCGAGATCGCATTCACAAGGCTCCATCAGGAACAGTGTTTCGTTTCGGGAACAATGGGACGCTGCCTAGTCTCTACGCAGCATTTGTTCCCTTTGGGAAGAAGTGGTTTAAGATTGAAGTCGTGGCAGGGCAAACACCGTTCCTGCTGTCTAACGCTGTGATGCGACAGATGAAGTGCCAGTTGAATTTTGAAGAAGACACCTTGTGGATTCCGGAGTATCACCGAAGCCTAAAGTTGTCGGTGGGGGTAAAAGGGCTTTATCATGTCGATGTTGTAGCTCTATTGGAAATGGATGGTTCAGAGAGTGCCCTTCTTGAAGTGGATACGACGCCCGAAGCGAATCCTCAGCATCAAGTGTCAAGAGCCACCGCCAACCATGACGACCTCAATCGACGAGCTCCTGAACATGCCCCTGGTTGCTACAGACGACGCGACCTTGTCTTTGGCACCAGCTCCCCTCGAGCCATTGAGCAAGCCGCCCGAAGTGACTTCCCTGCGCCAATGGGGAACCTATCGTCTTCAGGAAGGCCGCCACAAGGGGCAGCTCTTTCTCGACACCTTTCGCCAGCATCCCGAGTACGTCAACTATTTAAGAAATCGGCACATCACCTCCAAGTCCCTGCTCAGCTTTCGGTCCTTTGCCAACGCCATCGAGCACGCTCAGAGGCAAATGGAGGTGGCAGAGATCCTTCAAGAACACATGCTGAGCCTTCCCACGGAGAAGGGCGAAGGGATGGCTGCGCCGCAAATGACTCGAGGGCCGATGAAAGCACCGACTCAGGACGACCAGCTCCCAGTGGCGCCAAAGAGGGTGGCGCGAAAGCAGGAAGCCGGCTCGAGCTCATCAAAGAGGAGCCCATCATGGGATGTGATCGGCGAGCCTCCCACACAGGGAATGGTGCAGGACAACAATTCCGAGCAGATCGGGGCGCTCCAGACACAGATTGCCATTTTGCAGCGAGAGCTGAGCCGCATTCAGGGAAGCCCGTAGAGGTTTCAACATGTCCAAGAAAGGATGAAATTCCCGAGGGTGAGCTCAAGTGTCTGAGTCCTGAAAAGCTTCTCGAAGTCACACGGGCAATCGATCAGCTATGTTTGATGGTTGAGCAGTCAATCCAAGAAATTAATCGGCTCCACCCTACAACCTATAAGGCCAGGCAAGCAGAGTCGAGCCACAGATCCTCCATGCTGGAGATTAGTGTTGGATTTCAGGGTATGATTGGTCGTGAGTTAGGGGAGACAAACGGCTCCTGGGAGAGGATCGACCTCGCCCGTTCAAGGCTGCTTCAAGCCGGCGTGCCGGACGAGATTTGGAGCAAAATGAGCGAAAGCCAGCCTAGACATGTATGGTTAAGCATTGGACCCAAGCAACTGTCTAGACACGAAAAAGGGGTTCTAGTGCAACTTACTAGGGACCTTTATGAAGAACAGGTTTCGCGCGGAGCTCATTTCCATCTTTGGGCGCCCGAAAGCTTTGTTCAGGATACAGGGGAGTGTCTAGATGAGGTGTTTGCAGGAACCCTTCCCACTTTCTATCATGTAGGACATGTCCCCCGAACCGAACGACTGAAGGGTAACAACTATCTCCGTCAGAGGGTCAATTTTAGAACAACATCACAGGGTCTGCATAGGGGTCTTGATTGGAGATATTTCGTAGAAAAGGGTCAGATGGAAGGGTCCCGAAAAAGGGTTTATTCTCTTGGACTCTCGTCGAACGTTGCCTTCTGGATCGGCCGACTCAAAGATGAGAAGCCTCTCATCCTGAATGAACTGTGCTGTCACCTTGATGACAAACGAACGCTCGATGAGGACGAAGATGCAGGACAACAGGCAATCAAAAGAAGAAGGTGTCACGGGAAACAAGATGAATTGAACCTGTATCGATATGGGAAAAGCCATGTGTCGTGGGAAAGTGTTTTTCGAGAAGTAAACTCAAAGGTTCCACGGGCAGGGAATTTCGTGATCCCTCCAGAAGATCCCATGATTCCCAAGGTTCAACAATTGATTCCCGAAATGGTGGTTCATCACATGGAGGTCTGCCGGGGAGTGAATCGACTCCGAATCCCACAAGGTCGATATGAAAGATCCCGAATAACTCATCGCAAAACAGTGGTCATAAACCGAGACACAGGTAGCATTGAGGAGTGTGGACCTATTGAACACTGGGCCCGACTCCCCAAATACAAACAAATAGGCGCAGGTAGACATGCCAAGATCGCCATTACTGTGTTTGGGGTCTGTTCCGATGGTGATCAAGAATCAATGGCTTCGCCAAATCGCCGTGGCCCAACAATCGATCCACAAGCCCCGAATGCCTCAACAACAAATGCCCGGCCTGAACTTGGTGATCAGGACTCCGAAATGACATCCGCAACGCCGGAGCAAAGTGGGCCCAAAAGGGGCGAACCCTCCCAAAAGATGGCCTGGGGGCCCCCGCCTGTTGCAAACCATGGTCCCGGATTCCTAAGGCTCAACGCCCAGGAACAGAGCGAAATTCGACAGCTCCACCACAACCTTGGCCATCCCGATCCCAAAAAGTTTGCGCTTTACCTCAAGCAAGGAGGTGCGGATGAAGTTGTTCAACAGGGTGCTCTTGACTTTCAGTGTGATGCCTGCACCGAGTCACGACGTGGTTTTATGGCCGCACGGCCTGCCGCCATCCATGCAAACATTTCGTTTAACCACAAAGTGGGGATGGACCTGGTATCATGGAGAAGCTCCAAGGGGAAAGAATTTCACTTCGTTCATTTCATCGATGAGGCGACTTTGTTTAACGTTGGGGCGGAATGCAATCAGGGAGCCGAGGGAGTGATTGAAATGTTTGAGCAGTTGTGGGTCAATTGGGCTGGGTATCCTCAGGAGGTGTATGTAGATCCGGGTGGGGAGTTCATTTCTGACGCCTGGGCACTTAAGATGCAGGAGGCTGGAATCAAAGTCAACATGTCCGCTTCTGACAGTCACTGGCAACTCGGAAGAGCAGAGATTCATGGTAGTACCGTTAAACAGATGTTGAGCCGCATGGATCTTGAGAAGGGTATCGAAAGTTCACATGAATTCCGAAAGGCTCTCAGGCACGTTTTCTTGGCTAAAAACTCTCTGTGCAGAGCCGATGGGTACACGCCGCAACAGGCGGTACTTGGGGTTTCCTGTAGGCTCCCAGGCTCGATTCTTTCAGATAGCAATGCCTCGTCCCACGCTCTGGCAGAGAGCGGTACAAGCGAGGGAGGCAGTCTTCCCGAAGGGCAGCGCTTTTTGGAAGAACTCCAGCTGCGTGAGCGCGCGAGAAGATCCTTTATCATGGTCGACAACAGCTCCAGCTTCCGGCGAGCATTGTTACGGCGCACGAGACCGTTGCGAAGTCAATGGGAGCCAGGAGACATGGTGCTGTACTGGCGCCGGAGGGGAGGCAACTTGCGGCGCGAGCATGGCCGGTGGCATGGGCCAGCGCAGGTGATAGCCAAGGAGAAGGAGAAGGTGGTTTGGTTGAGCCACGCGGGACGACTGATACGTGCGAGCCCAGAACAGATCAGAGCAGCTTCGCTGCCCGAGTGGGAGATGATTCCGAAATCAGAACAGGGCAGCCCTCTTCAGCAACTCGAGCCGTTAAAGAACCAGCTGAAGCATGCTCCGCAATACTTCGATCTCGAGGGTGAAGACATTCCTCCGGCCGAGGCCTTTAATGAACCAGCAAGTATGGATGTTCAGTCTGAACCCGAAGCAGAAAATACTCCGGAATCCTCGAATCCTTCTCGTGATGGGTTGTCGCCAAAAACGACTCCTCATGACGATCCGATGTTGCCTTTTGATGATGAGCCCCGAATGCCAACATCTGCCGAGCAGGCCAGTCTCGATCAAAGTTTGGAAGTTCCTGTCCCAGAGGACGATGACCTTGAGTTTGGGGATATGGTTGTAGTAGAAGAAGAAGAGGTTAATTTTAGTGGGGTAGAGTCATGCTGGGAGATAAGTATAGTGCCTCCTCAAGGGTGGGAACTTCCGAAAGAGATCGAGGAAGACATGATTTGCCTTGCCAGCGAGAATCGCAAGCAAAGAGTTGAAGTGAAGCTACGGGATCTAACCATACGTGACCAGAAACGTTTTGCACTGGCAAAGAACAAGGAGGTCGGTGCTTGGTTGTCCCACAAGACAGTTCGCAAAGTCGCCCAAGGAAAGATCCCGAACAAAAACATCATGCGATGCAGGTGGATCTACACATGGAAGCCGGCCGAAGCAGTAGATGAAGCTACACATGATGGTAAGAAGGCAAAAGCCAGGCTAGTAGTGTTAGGTTTCGAAGATCCTGACATAGATCATGTCCCCAATGACGCACCCACGTTGACCAAAGATGGGCGACAGCTACTGCTTCAGAAGATCTGTAGTAACAGATGGCGGCTTTGTTCTTTCGATATCAGCACAGCATTTCTCCATGGAAAAGGGGATGGGCGTCTCCTAGGAATTCAAGCGCCTCCCGAGGTGAAAGAGGCTCTTGAAATGGAAAAGGGAGATCAGTGCGAACTTGTAGGGGGAGCGTATGGGAGGATAGATGCTCCGTATCTGTGGTACCAAGAGCTTCGCAAGGAACTCCTAGGTATAGGATTTAAACAATGTCCGCTTGATCCCTGCGTGTTTTCACTTTCAACGCGAGATGCTTCTGGAAAGTTACGAAGTCATGGCATTCTAGGGATTCATGTAGATGATGGCATTTGCGGAGGCGACCAGGTCTTCCAAGAAGCATTGCAGAAGCTCAGAAAACGCTTTAGCTTTGGATCGTATGAACAGGGAACTTTTGTTTTCACTGGCATCCGGCTTCATCAGTGGGAAGATGGAAGCATCGAAATGGATCAAACTGAGTATGTTTCGAAGATTGAGGCAATAAATGTCCCGCGGGAGCGTCGAAAGAACTTGCAAGATCCTGTGACTGAAGCCGAAAGAAGACAATATCGACAGCTCATAGGAAGTTTGCAGTACGCGGCTGTCCACACGAGAGCCGACTTATGCGCCAAAATTGGAGAACTCCAGTCAGCAATCAATGTCGCGACAGTGTCCCACCTCTTAGAGGCTAATAGGGTGCTACACGAGGCAAAGGTTCATCCCGTAACTATAATGATAATCCCAATTGCTGAACAGGAGTTGACGTTCTGCGCATTTTCCGACGCGTCCTTTGCGTCCAATCAGAAACTCAGCGCACACCAAGGCACAGTGATCTTTGCAACTAGCACTAAGATCCTTGAGAATGATAAGTCTGTAGTCTGCCCAATTGCTTGGTCCTCAAAGCGCATTCCCCGAGTTGTGAGAAGTACACTTGGGGCTGAAGCCTTTGCGCTAAGTAATTCGATTGACAGGCTCTCTTGGATTCGGGTTCTTTGGGCATGGATGAAAGATGACAGTGTAGCATGGCATTGTCCTGAAGAGCTTCTTCGTAAAGAGCCGTCAGCTGCAGCCGTCACTGATTGCAAATCGGTGTACGACATTGTGACCAGAACAGCGCCGCCTCATTGCGAGGAGCATCGTACGACCATTGAATGTCTGCTAATTAGGCAGAGGATGCAGGATAACTGTAAGCTTCGATGGGTTGCTTCTGGCGCAATGTTGGCTGATTGTTTGACGAAATCTATGGACGCGAGTCGGCTTAGAGAGTGTCTCAAGAGTGGTAGATATACTTTGTTTGATGAGGGAATGGTTCTGAAGCAAAGGGCTGACAAACGCAAACAGCTGCAGTGGGTGAAGCAACAGAAGCCCCTTGACGATTCATGTATGTACAGCACCGCCGGCGAAGGTGACTTTTGGAGAGTTGACAGACAGAGAGGTTTTCTGGAGAGAGTACATAGGCGGCCTAGGTGGGAAAGGTTTACTCCGATTGGGGTTCGTGAGTGTCCGGTAGCTCTTGGGGATCTAGACGCGCGAAGAACCACTTACCTTAAGACAATATCCTCTCTGCAAACAAACACTGTCAATGATGTCTGGGTGGGACCAGATTCTCACCATACCGAAGCCGAAGCATGGATCGGGGTAACTCGCTTTTACTTCATGTCTGAGCCAAAGGTTCATGACAGTCCGAGCCAGGGATCAGACTCAAGATAACATTCTTTTCATTCTTGAAAAATAGTTATTTATAGTGAGTGTGAACATCTTGAGGTCTGATCAGACAGCACATCCGTTGCTGCAGGCTCTTGCGGGGCAGGGCTAGGGTTGGGTAGTCAGAGCCATATCCAGCGCGGACGCTGGACGGATAGAAGGAGGAGAAGAAGGAAGAGAAAAAGGAAGACAAGCAGGCGCTTAAGCTGTAGGAGCGGCGTGACTTGGCCAATCAATTCAGACCCTAAACCCTAAACCCTAAACCCTAAACCCTAAACCCTAAACCCTAGACCCTATATAACCTTCAACCCTCAACCCTCAACTCGTCCTCCTCCTTCTGCTCTCCTTGGTTCCGCCTCGCACTCCCCAGATTCCTTTGGGGCCCGAGGGCCGCAAGCCATGCGCCCTGATGCGAACCAATCCAGCTACAGCCCCTAAACCCTAATTCCTAAACCCTAAACCCTAAACCCTAAATCCTAGATCCTAAATCCTAAACCCTGAACCCTGAACCCTAAACCCGAAACCCTATCGGCTTTGAGAACCCCCACCCAGTCCAGCTTTTTGGGGCCGCGTGGGGTTTCGGGTCGGCCGCTGCAAGGGAGGACCCCACAGCCCCTGAAACCAAGGATCAAGCTGGGCAGCTCTGCCTACGGCGCAGGGGTACGGCCCTCAGGGTTCTGGGCTTCGAGATTTCGGGCTTCAGGGCTCGGTGGTTCTTCGTGCACTTTCTGCAAGATCTACGCAAAACATCCAGAGACGCAGTAGAATGTGGAAATCCTAGATCCATGGACCTTAAAGCCCAAAAATCTTCGAACCCGAACCCTAAACCCTAAACCCTCTTCCCTTCCTATGGGGGGCTTATGTAAGTCCCTTTATTAGGGGCAGTTATATAAGCTCCCTTATAAACCCCCCCATGTATGCAACTACTGGCTGAGCCCGAAACCCTTAACCCCAAACCCTATACCCAAACCCCAAACCCCAAACCCCAAACCCCAAACCCCAAACCCTAAACCCTAAACCCGAAACCCTAAACCCTAAACCCTAAACCCTAAACCCTAAACCCTAAGCCCCATAGGTCGGTTCCTGGCAGAATTGCCTGACGCTCTGCGAGCGCGCGAAGGCGACCTGTCCCGCAGTGCTGAGGTGCTAGAGGGTGTAGGGTTCAGGGTTTAGGGTCCTAAACCCTAAACCCTAAACCCTAAACCCTAAACCCTAAACCCTAAACCCTAAGCCCTAAGCCCTAAACCCTAACCCTAAACCCTAAACCCTAAACCCTAAACCCTAAACCCTAAACCCTAAACCCTAAACCCTGATCCCCAGTCCCTCCCCTAGAAGCCCTGGGAGCCCAGGAGTGCAAGCAGGTGGTCTTCTACAATGGCCACTGCTACGGCATGAGCCAAAGATCCGACGACGACCAGGAGTCGACCCCTAAACCCTAAACCCTAAACCCTAAATCCTAAACCCTAAACCCTAAACCCTAAACCCTAAACCCTAAACCCTAAACCCTAAACCCTAAACCCTAAACCCTAAACCCTAAACCCTAAACCCTGAACCCTAAACCCTAAACCTACACCTTAACTCTAAACCTAAACCCTAGACCCTCAACCCTTACGTGCCGTAAACCCTGAAGTGCGCCCTGAGCCCTAAACTAGTGCCGTTTGTTTCGGGGGTTTGTTCAGGGTTGAGGGTTCTGAGGGGGAGAGGGTTTAGGGTTTAGGGGTTTAGGGTTTAGGGTTTAGGGGTTCAAGAATTCTACCCTGAGTTTGTTGTTTAGAAATTCGCCCTCCTGCGAGGATGGCCGCGGTGGCCAGAACATCGGCTTCATCTCGGCGCACTGTTACGAGGAGGCGCCGCATGGAAAGCCGTAGCTGAAGGAAGGTACCCTAGATCCTAACCCTTTACGCCGTAAGCCCCTGAAACCCCAAACCCCTAAACCCTAAACCCCAGTTTAGACTTTAGGGTGCAGGGTTGAAGGGGGTTAAGGGCAAGTTCAGGGAGTTGAAGTTCTAGGGTTTGGAGTTTGGGATGTCTAGAGTTGGCAGTCTTGGGCGCTTGAGGTCGAGATTCGGCTTTCGGTCTGGAGTTGCTGGGGTCTGGGGGTCGTGGGCTGAACGACCACTAGCCTCAAATAAGACCTAAAGACCTAAAACCCTAATCCCTAATCACTCAACCCTCAACCCTCAACCCTCAACCCTCAACCCTCAACCCTCAACCCTCAACCCTCAACCCTCAACCCTCAACCCTCAACCCTCAACCCTCAACCCTCAGCCCTCAACCTTCAACCTTCAACCCTCAACCCTCAACCCTCAACCCTCAACCCTCAACCCTCAACCCTCAACCCTCAACCCTCAACCCTAAACCCTGCCCAAACCTGGCATTCTTTGGAGTTGCGTGCCAGGGCGACTACGCGATGGTGCCTACCAAGGCCTGCAAGGGCCTGCCGTACACGCCGCTGGGCTGAAACCCTAAACCCCAAGCTCCCTAAACCCTAAACCCTAAACCCTAAACCCTAAACCCTAAACCCCAAACCCTAAACACCCTAAACCCTAAACCCTAAACCCTAAGATCCTAAAGCCTAAGATCCTAAACCCTATACCCTAAATTCCTCAACCCGAGGAGGTATCATCGACTCCCTCCCCATCTCTGTCTCTCTCTCTCTCTCTCTCTTTCATTCGTCCCTTTTCATCCATTCATTCACACATTCAATCATTCACTCATGTACCTCACTCACTTAATCACTCATTCTCTCATTCCTTCCGTTCTTTCTTCCATTCACTCTTTCATTCCTCTCATTTATCCTTCATTCAATTTTTCATTCAGTTCCATTCTCATCTGTTGGCTTGGGGTGTAGGGCACCAAGAACCCCTAAAGCCTAAACCCTAAACCCCAAAACCCTAAGCCCCAAGCCCTAAACCCTAAACCCTAAACCCTAAACCCTGCGAGGTTCGACCGGAAGGCCAAGTGTGACGGCTTCAAGGGCCTTACCCTGGAACAGCCCGGAGGCCCAGCCTCTGGTGGTAGCCCACGGGATGCCCAGCTACTCTCGGGGGTCTGGGGGTTTAGGGTTTAGGGGTTTAGGGGTTTAGGGTTTAGGGTTAAGGGTTTAGGGTTAGGGTTTAGGGTTTAGGGTTTAGGGTTTAGGGTTTAGGGTTTAGGGTTTAGGGTTTAGGGTGTAGGGTGTAGGGTGTAGGGTGTAGGGCTTGGAGTCCAACCCCGAGGTGCCAGAAGAAGTGCGCCGACAGCGAGCAGGCTCCCCACTGCCCCAAGAAGACCTGCGACTCGGCGACGGGGAAATGCAGGCTCTGAGAGTCTGAGCTGGCCCCTAAATCCTGAAGCCTGAACCCGAAGTTTAGGGTTGAGGGTTTAGGGTTTAGGGTTTAGGATTTAGGGTTTAGGGTTTAGGGGTTAGGGTTTGGGGTTTAGGGTTGCGGGCTTGGGGTTTAGAGTTTAGGGTGAGGTGGAAGTCGAGACGCCAGTGGCTCCCAACAGCTTAGATCTAGGGACACCCTGCGGAAGCCAGCCCTGCTTTCAGAAACCCCAAACCGGTTTAGGGTTTAGGGTTTAGGGTTTAAGGTTTAGGGTTCGGAGTCCTACGACAGAATTCGTAATAGTTTCGTTTCTCCCGAAGCGAGAGTCTAATGTCAACGGCCCTAGAACTTCCAATGCTCACGCCCTAAAGCCTCAACCAAGCTGAGTTTCTGAGGAGGTGGCTAAACCCTAAACCCTAAACCCTAAACCCTAAACCCTAAACCCTAAACCCTAAACCCTAAACCCTAAACCCTAAACCCTAAACCCTAAACCCTAAACCCTAAACCCTAAACCCTAAACCCTAAACCTAAACCCTAAACCCTAAACCCTAAACGCTAAGCCCTAAACCCTAAACCCTAAACCCTAAACCCTAAACCCTAAAGCCTAAACCCTAAACCCTAAACCCTATACGGGGGGCAACCAAAGAGGGAAAGGGATCAACCCCACTGATCGCCCGGAAATTATATTCCCCAGACCGAACCAAAAGACAAACCCCAAAAACGGACAAGAGGAACCCAGGAGGAAAGTAAGGGGGAACAGGATCCACACCCTTAGGGACAAATCCCACAAACGCAGGCTCTACTTTTTGATCTTGTGGCCCTGTAGTACTGGCCATCCTTGAGCCAAATAACCGCGGGTTTATTAACCCTTTCCAACTACTCCTAACACAATTCCTGAAATACAAACTGCAGCTCCGCACCCTAAACGCTAAACCCTAAACCCTAAACCCTAAACCCTAAACCCTAAACCCGAAATCCTAAACCCTAAACCCTAAACCCTAAACCCTAAACCCTAAACCCTAAACCCTAAACCCTAACCCTAAACCCTGTCAAGTAAGTTTGTATTTTCAAGTATGTCCTTGAGCCTAGTCCCGCAGGTGTTCTCCCAGTTTGTACTATGAAACAGCACAAGCCGGGAAACAACTTGACAACCCAACATCCTAAAGACCCTAAACCCTAAAAGCCCCTAAATCCCCCTAGCACCCTAAACCCCTTACCCCCCCCCCCCCCCCAAACCCTAAACCCTAAACCCTAAACCCGAAACCCTAAACCCTAAACCCTAAACCCTAAACCCGAAACCCTGAACCCTAAACCCCAAACCCAGCTCCTAGGTCGTGGTGCGGTCTTCTACCGGAATTCTGGGTGGTGCCACCTTTACGAGGCTCTCTGGTTTAGGGTTTAGGGTTTCGGGTTTAGTGTTTAGAGTCCAGGGTCTGAGGGGCGACTTTTGGGGCTGGAATCCTAAACCCACGCGTGCTTGTGGGTACTAGAAGGTGCTTTCCACAATTAGGGTACCTTGTTGGGGGTCCTTATGATGAGGGAGTCCTACTAAAACTTGTTTTTCAGGGATGACTGGACTTGTCGAAGGCCCCTAAGCCTAAAACCCCTGAGCCCGAAGCCGAAAGTCAACCATGCTATGCCGTAAGCCCTGTACCCCAAAATCTCGACACCCTAAACCCTGAACCCTAAACCCTGAACCCTAAACCCTAGCCCTAAACCCTAAACCCAAAAACCAAAACCCAAAACACAAAACCCTAAGCCCTAAGCCCTAACCTCGCCTCCACACAAAAAGGCCTGCACCGAGCTCGTTGACAGCAACGCAGCCACTGCGATTGTGGAGAAGGCGGGGGAACTCTTAGGGTTTTGGCTCAGGGTCGAAGAGTTGGGGTTTTTTTGTCACGAAAGCTCGCGTAGCGAAGCTGGAGTTTTATCTGCTTTAGCAGCAGGGGGCCGACCACGGCCAGAAAACAGCGTATTATTGATACTATCTTATTAGGGGGGGGTGGGGGGGGGGGTAAATTGATATATCACACGAATTCCTTGGTTTTGGAAGGGGGGAGGGGGGGGGTGGGGGTAAATTGATACATCACACGAATTCCCTGGTTTTGGAGGGGGGGGGGTGGGGGGGGGGGGGTAAATTGATATATCAATACCTTAAGGGGAGGCGTTTTTACGTCAAGACCTGACTCCGTCGCGTGTTGACCGCAGCGCGTGAGTCAGGCTCCCAGCACAACATGCGTCGCCGCCCACTAGTGATGTGTTGATTGCAACAAGCTAGTTGATTGCAAGAAGCTAGTATCTACCCAACACTGCGACGGCTGAAAAGAAGACGCTGGCCCCTCAAGCATGCCTCCAACTGGGCCCTGCCCGCACTTTCTCTTGCAACTTTGCTCTTGCTTCCGGCCCCCGAGCTTTCGTCCTCCCTGCCTCCGGCCCTCAAGTGTTCGGGTTTAGGGTTTAGGGCTAGGGTTTCGGGTTCAGGGTTTAGGGTTCAGGGCTTAGGGGCCTGCAGTTTGCTGGGACTTCGGGAGGCTTAGGGTATGCGTTCTGTCAGGATTTAGGGTTTATTGTTTGGTTGTTTAGATTTGACGTGTGAAAATATTGGTCGAGCGTTGCAGGACCTTGCTCTGAAGCAGGACCCTTTCCCCTAAACCCTAAACCCTAAACCCTAAACCCTAAACCCTAAACCCTAAACCCTAAACCCTAAACCCTAAACCCTAAACCCTAAACCCTAAACCTCTCTTTCATATATAATTTAAATGTTAAGGAGTTACTGGGCAAGGTCATTTTTTTACTGGGCAAGGTCATTTTTTTACTGGGCAAGGTCATTTTTTTACTGGGCAAGGTCATTTTTTTACTGGGCAAGGTCGTTTCGTCAAAAAAACGACCTTGCCCAGTAAAAAAATGACCTTGCCCAGTAAAAAAAATGACCTTGCCCAGTAAAAATGTTACTGGGCAAGGTCATCTTTTTACTGGGCAAGGTCATCTTTTTACTGGGCAAGGTCATCTTTTTACTGGGCAAGGTCATTTTTTACTGGGCAAGGTCATTTTTTTACTGGGCAAGGTCATTTTTTTACTGGGCAAGGTCATTTTTTTACTGGGCAAGGTCATTTTTTTACTGGGCAAGGTCATTACTGGGCAAGGTCATTTTTTTACTGGGCAAGGTCATTTTTTACTGGGCAAGGTCATTTTTTTACTGGGCAAGGTCATTTTTTTACTGGGCAAGGTCATTTTTTTACTGGGCAAGGTCATTTTTTTACTGGGCAAGGTCATTTTTTTACTGGGCAAGGTCATTACTGGGCAAGGTCATTTTTTTACAAGGTCATTTTTTACTGGGCAAGGTCATTTTTTTATTGGGCAAGGTCATTTTTTTACTGGGCAAGGTCATTTTTTTACTGGGCATTTTTTTACTGGGCAAGGTCATTTTTTTACTGGGCAAGGTCATTTTTTTACTGGGCAAGGTCATTTTTTTACTGGGCAAGGTCATTTTTTTACTGGGCAAGGTCATTTTTTTACTGGGCAAGGTCATTTTTTTACTGGGCAAGGTCATTTTTTTACTGGGCAAGGTCATTTTTTTACTGGGCAAGGTCATTTTTTTACTGGGCAAGGTCATTTTTTATTGGGCAAGGTCATGTTTTTTGGGCAAGGTCATTTTACTGGGCAAGGTCATTCTTTTACTGGGCAAGGTCATTTTTTACTGGGCAAGGTCATTTTTTACTGGGCAAGGTCATTTTTTTACTGGGCAAGGTCATTACTGGGCAAGGTCATTTTTTTACTGGGCAAGGTCATTTTTTACTGGGCAAGGTCGTTTCGTCCAAAGGTGTTTAGGATTTCCGGGCCTAATGGTTTCAAGGCCTCACGGCCTGGTGTTTAGGGTTTCAGGGCCTCAAGGCCTGCTGTTTAGGGTTTCACGGCCTCACGGCCTAGTATTTAGGTTTCAGGGTTTCAGGGCCTCAAGGCCTAGTGTTTAGGGTTTCAGGGCCTCAAGGCCTGGTGTTTAGGGTTTCAAGGCCTCAAGGCCGGGTGTGGCTTGTGTTAAGTGCTTGGTACTACGGCGTGATTGGTGCATCCGAAGAGAAAATAAGTAACCTTCTATTTTCTTAATGTTATGGGATTCTTTGGGCGGGTGGGTTTTTTCCGTTGCCTAGATACACTGCTGGCCTAGTAAATGCTCGAACTTGAGATGCTGAACCCTAAACCCTAAACCCTAACCCTAAACCCTAAACCCTAAACCCTAACCCTAAACCCATGTTGGTGCCCCTTTTGAGTGGTGGACCCGGCCCCTAAACCCTAAACCCTAAACCCTAAACCCTAAACCCTAAACCCTAAACCCTAAACCCTAAACCCTAAACCCTAAACCCTAAACCCTAAACCCTAAACCCTAAACCCTAAACCCTAAACCCTAAACCCTAAACCCTAAACCCTAAACCCTAAACCCTAAACCTAAACCCTAAACCCTAAGCCCTGCCGAGGTCGAGACCGACTGTGCCAACGCTGTCCAGGACCTTCCGGAGCACCAGCGCAGGCCGCCTTGAGGGTTCAGGGTTGAGTTTGTAGGGTTTAGGGTTTAGGGTTTAGGGTTTGGGGGTTAGGGTTTAGGGTTGAGGGTGGAGTTTGTAGGGTTTAGGGGTTTAGGGTTTCGAGGTACCTTTCCTCCAACCCGAGTCCCCTTCTTGAGCGCCTGGAGGAATCCAGCTTTGGGGGCTGTGTCTCGGTTTAGGGTTTGGGGTTAGGGTTTTGGAGGTGGGCTTAGTTTTACTTGCGCAGTCGGTCACGTGTAGGGTTTAGGTGTCCTTGCACAGTCGGTCACCCTCTTCACAGGTACTCCTCCGTCTGGAACAATGACCGCATCGGTACCCGTGCCGGGCTCAACAAGCCTCTGAATGTTCGCGAGCTTGTGGTACGTATGGACCCTACTGATCCGAACCCTAAACCCTACACACTAGAACCCTAAGCCTAAGAACTCACAACCCCTCCCCATTTCAGGTCTTTGGCTTGTGTTTTTTAAGGGTTGTAGGGCATTTGGCGACCGAGCTGCGATTGGGCTTTAGGGATTCAGGTTTCTCGGCGCTACGGCGCCCATGATGGAATTCTTAATCTACAAAAAGCGTAAAAAGGTTTTGGTCCACTTTCTCTCCACCGGGTTGCCACTAAGCCCTAAACCCTAAACCCTAAACCCTAAACCCTAAACCCTAAACCCTAAACCCTAAACCCTAAACCCTAAACCCTAAACCCTAAACCTAAACCCTAAACCCTAAACCTAAACCCTAAACCCTAAACCCTAAACCCTAAACCCTAAATGCTAAACCCTCAACCCTACACCCTCAACCCTAGCCCCACGCTCCAAGCCCCAAACCCTAAACCCTGAACCCCTACACCCTAAACCCTAAGCCTTAAACCCTAAACCCTACACCCTGAACCTCTACCCCTACACCCCCCACCCCAAGCCCCAAACCTTAAACCCTAAACCTCCACACCCTAAACCCCAAAACCCCAAAACCCCAAACCCTACCGTAAACCCGAAGCCCTAAGCCCCAAACCCGAAACCCTAAACCCTAACCCCTAAACCCTAAACCTTCGAAACCCTAAAGCCCGAACCCTTCTGGCGATCTGCGCAACGCAGGCCATGCCAGTTCCATGCTGGCTCGGTCCAGGCATGGAGCGCGCGATGCTGGCCGCATACCCTAAACCCTAAACCCTTAACCCTAACCCTAAACCCTAAACCCTAAACCCTAAACCCTAAACCCTAAACCCTAAACACCTAAACCCTAAACCCCAAACCCCAAACCCTAAACCCCCCTAAACCCTAAACCCTAAACCCTAAACCCAAAACCCCAAACCCTAAACCCTAAACCCTATGCCCTGAACCCTGAACCCTGAACCCTGACCCCTGAACCCACCGAACCGTTTGGGGGTTTGCGGGTTTTTTCTGTTGTGGGTCGTGGAGTTTGGGGCATCCTATTCCCTAAACCCTGCACCGTTTTCGGGTTTGGGGTTTTGAGATGTCGGGCTTTTGAGTTCTGGATTTGGTGCTTTGGGTCTTGGGATTTCGGACGAAGGGCTTCTAAGCCCTTAGCCATAAACCCTAAATCGTGAATTGCCTGAGCCACTGCCACACAGAGACAGAACCCGAGGCGCAGACCCGAATCTCACCCTCACCCTCAACCCTCAACCCTCAACCCTCAACCCTCAACCCTAAACCCTAAACCCTAAACCCTAAACCCTAAACCCTAAACCCTAAACCCTAAACCCTAAACCCTAAACCCTAGACCCTAGACCCTAAACCCTCAACTCTAAAGGCCTTAAGCCAAGCCCTCAACACCAAGAAGGATCCCTGGCCGAGTTTAGGGTTTAGGGTTTAGGGTTTAGGGCTTAGGGTTTAGGGTTTAGGGTTTAGGGCTTAGGGTTTAGGGTTTAGGGTTTAGGGCTTAGGGTTTAGGGTTTAGGGTTTAGGGCTTAGGGTTTAGGGTTTAGGGTTTAGGGTTTAGGGCTTAGGGTTTAGGGTTTAGGGTGTATTCGAAGAGCCCGCCAATTCCCCAGAACCTCGAAGGCCCTGGGTCGCCCTTCAGACTAAACAACCCAAACCTTCCCCAAGCCTTAAACCCTAAACCCTAAGCCCGAAACCCTAAACCCGAAACCCTAAACCCTAAACCTTAACCCCTAAACCCCAAACCCAAACCCCAAACCCTAAACCCCAAACCCTAAACCCTAAACCCTAAACCCCAAACCCTAAACCCCAAACCCTAAACCCTAAACCCTAAACCCTGTATAAACCGGATGCATAAACCCAAGATATCAACCCCAGGAAAGAACCTGGCCGGCCAGTTCATGCAAATCGACCTTGGACTCTTGGGCTGAGTGTTTAGGGCTCCTACAAACCCTAAACCCTAGACCCTAAATCCCAAACCCTAAACCCTAAACCTTAATAAACCCCCAAACCCCAAACCCCAAACCCCAAACCCTAAACCCTAAACCCTAAACCCTAAACCCTAAACCCTAAACCCTAAACCCTAAACCCTAAACCCTAAACCCTAAACCTTAACCCCTAAACCCCAAACCCTAAACCCTATAACCCAAACCCCAAAGCCCAAAACCCCAAACTCCAAATCGCTAAACCCTAAACCCTATACCCGAATGGCTGGAGGGGTTATGGGTGGTTTGCGGGTGTCGGATTGTGGGCTCCAGTCCAGTCTGGGCAGTTTTGGACTTTCTTACGGCTGGGGGCCAGTCCAGTCTGGGCAGTTTTGGCTGAGACCCTCTACCCGAAACCCCAAACCCTAAACCCTATAACCCTATAACCCTAAACCCTAAACCCTAAACCCTAAACCCTGAACCCTGCACCCGCCTGCAGGGTTTGAGGGGTATACTTGGATGCCGTGTTTTTTGCTGCAGCCAGAGGCCCGAATTGACCGTAGGGTACGGCGTTTGAGGCTGAAGGGGTTGAGGGTTTGAGGGTTTCAGGGTTTGAGGGTTTGAGGGTTCAAGGGTGTTCGGGTTAAGGGTTTAGGGTTCAGATTCTGTGAAACCCCTAAGCCCTTTCAACCCTTCAACTTCTATCAGCTCCAGCAACTTTCCCCCACCAAAGCCCTTAGAGCCTACAGCCCTTGCATCCTGGCAACCCTGAGCCCTAAACCCTAACCCCCAACCCCTGACCCCTAAACCCTAAACCCTAAACCTAAACCCTAAACCCTAAACCCTAAACCCTAAACCCTGAACCCTAAACACTAAACTCTAAACCATAAACCCTGCCTCCCAAGGACTGGTCGCCACTGTGGCCGGCGTGGTCACGAGGGGCCGCACTGCCTACCAGCAGTGGGTGACCTCCTACAAGGCGGGGTTCAGGTGTCTTCGGGTTGGGCTCAGGGTTCAGGGTTTGGGGTTTTGCAGGGTGCAGGGTTTCATGGTTTCAGGGTTTCGGTTTAGGAGTTAGGGGTTTTGGGGTTTCAGGGTTTAGACTTTGGCGTTTCCGGTTTCAGGGTCTAGGGTGTAATGCTCAGGGGTTAGGGGGTTTAGGGTTCGGGGTTCAGGGGTTTGGGGCTCGGGTTTAGGGTTTGGGGTTAGGGATTTGGGGTTTCAGGGTTTGGGGTTGCATGGGGTTTCAGCCCTTCTGGGTTTAGGTTTAGGGTTCTGGCTTAGGGTTGAAGCTGGAGCAGTGGTGTGTGCACCCCACCATCCCCCCCCCGCCCGGCTCTGCAACACTTGGGGAGACTTCTTCTCCCTAAGAGGGTATTGGGTTTAAGGGTTTAGGGTTTAGGGCCGTTTAGGGTTTAAAGTTTGGGGTCTAGGGTAAGCTCTAAACCCTAACCCCTAAAACCTAAACGTCCCATTCGCGTTGTTATCCGCCGACCCCAGGCGGAAGCGGGGGCGGCGTCAGTGCACCCACCCAGAGAATCCCATATCACCCTAAACCCTAAACCCTAAACCCTAAACCCTAAACCCTAAACCCTAAACCCTAAACCCTAAACCCTAAACCCTAAACCCTAAACCCTAAACCCTAAACCCTAAACCCTAAACCCTAAACCCTAAGCCCTAAGCCCTAAAGCCCTAAAGCCCTAAAGCCCAAACCCTAAACCCTAAACCCTAAACCCTAAACCCTAAACCCTAAACCCTAAACCCTAAACCCTAAAAGTTCACTTAGTCCATCAACCTTAGGCTCCATACCCTAGGGCCCTGATTCCTAAATCCTAAGCCAAAGCGGTTTAGGGTTTAGGGTTTAGGGTTTAGGGTTTGGGGTTTAGGGTTTAGGGTCCTTAAAGCCATGCGTGACCATGGAGGTGCAGACCAGCGTGGATGGGAGGCTGCGTGGCTTCATGGTGCCAGGTTCACATCCATCCGTAAACCTAACCCCCTAAACCCTAAACCCGAAACCCGAAACCCTAAACCCTAAACCCTAAACCCTAAACCCCAAACCCCAGACCCTAAACCCTAAACCCTAAACCCTAAACTCTACAAACCTACAATCCCTAAGCCCTGAAACCTGCCAAGTAGACCCCGACACCCAAAGTTGTTCGAAAGCCCTGGGAGTCGGAACGAAGCCCCCGAAGGTTCGTGGTTGAGGCTTCAGGGGCCGATTTCAGGGTTTAGGGTTTAGGGTTGTTGGCTTTGCCCTAAACCCTAAACCCTAAACCCTAAACCCTAAACCCTAAACCCTAAACCCTAAACCCTAAACCCTAAACCCTAAACCCTAAACCCTAAACCCTAAACCCTAAACCCTAAACCCTAAACCCTAAACCCTAAACCCTAAACCCTAAACCCTAAACCCTAAACCCTAAACCCTAAACCCTAAACCCTAAACCCTAAACCCTAAACCCTAGACCCTAGACCCTAGACCCTAAGCCCTAAACCCTAAACCCTCAACCCTCAACCCTCAGTGATCGGCGGAGGAAGTTCATAGATGCTCCTGGTGGCGCCTCGCACGCACGCGATTGCATGTAGGTTACCTGAACACCAGTTAAACCCCAAAACCCGACATGGAGCCCGAATATAGGAGGCTTTAGGGTTTAGGTTTTAGGGTTTAGCGTTTAGGGGTTAGGGTTTAGGGTAGATATACTACGATAATCCCCAAAACCCTATTCTAATTCTTCAGGCCCCTACATGAGAGACATAGGCCCCCAGGCCCTCATTGATTCAAAGAGGCTTGGCAAGGGTCGAGTCGGCAAGTGTCAGCGGTTTAGGGTTTAGGGTGGGTTTAGGGTCTAGTCGGGTCTAGGGTCTAGGGTTTAGGGTCTTGGGTTTAGGGTTTAGGGTTCAGGGTTCAAGGCGGGCAGGAATTTGGATTTAGGGGTTCCAGCTTCGGGGTTTTCTTTGGGCTCTTCGATTGTTGGTTCAGGTCCTAAAGAAGGATTCAGACGCTCGAACTTTCCAGCGTTGCATCCGATCGCGGCGCGCCGCCCCAAAGGCCCCGCCTTTGCCAGAAGACAACCCTAAGCCCTAAACCCTAAACCCTGAGCCGTAAACCCTAAACCCTCTCCCCTAAACCCTAAACCCCAAAGCCTAAACCCTAAACCCAGGAACTGGGGGAAACTTCGACCAGCACACAGACAAGGAGGTCTATTTCAGTTTCCCTGTCTCAGCGCGCTACATCCGCTTCGTGGTCTACGCACCCTGGTCCTACTCAGCTGGGTTTAGGGTTTAGGGTTTAGGGTTTTGGAGTCCTATACTTTAATATTTATTTTTGGTTCCGGTTTCCTATTAGAGCTCCTTATACCTAAAAAGTACTTACTTTCTTTCTAGGGTTTCCTCCAAAGTATGGCTACTTAAAACCCTCAGACGTGAAGCTCCGGTTGAGGGTTCAGGGCCCAGCCTTCTCGTCTTGTGCCCCTTGGAGACAGGTACTGACGCCCCTCGCCTCTCAACCCTAGACCCTAAACCCCCTGAAGCCTTATGAGCAGTGAAAGCCTAAACCCCGAGATCCCTCAAGTTTAAACCTTGAGAAACCTTCAGGCCCTGAACCCATCCCTGTCAGCTCCTACTTTTGTAAAGAAGCCCTAACCCCAACGACCTGACCCACTTGACCCAAAAATGGCTTCTGCACGTAGTAAGAGGCAAGGGTTTACTGACCCCTCCAACCCTCTACTGAACCCTCACTAAAACCCTCTGCTCAACACTCTGGTACAGCTCTCACACCCTCATTGAACTCTACTTTGCCTGCCAAACTCTATTAAGCCCCCTGCTAAACCCTACTATACCTTCTATTCAACCCTCTGCTAAACCCTCTACCCAACCCACTAAACTATTCAATTCTATTATGGCCTACTAAACCCTACTAAGCCCCCTACGAAACCCACTAAACCCTCTATTCAAGCCGCTACTCTGCCTTTCACAACAAAATCCTTCACTGAGCGAAAAACTTCCCTTTGAGGGAATGGGGATGGGAAGTGAGAATCTATGTCGTTAGCCCGAAACCCTAAATCTCGGCATAGAATCTTGTTGCCGCCGCGCGGCGAGAAGCCTTAAACCCTAAACCCTAAACCCTAAACCCTAAACCCCAAACCCTAGACCTTAAACCCTAAACCCGAAACCCTAAACCCTAAACCCTAACTAAGCCCTTGCTGGGCTCTGGGCCCAAAAGTGTTGCCCCATAGAAAGGCCTGGCATCGTCACATCTCCATGCGCGCCAGCCCGATCCTTTGCCAGGCATCTGCTTGGGGCTTCCGGGTGTGGGGTTTAGGGTTTAGGGTTTGGGTTTAGGGTTTAGGGTTTTGGGTTTAGAAGGTTAACTAAGGGTTTGAAGGGCTTGAGGGGTTGGGGTTCAGTGCTTCGGGGGGGTGTTGGGGCTTTTAGCAGGGTTTAGGGGGGGTTTTACGGGGCTTGCAGGGGTTCAGGGGGCTTAGTTGCCAGCTATTGGGGTGTAGGGTTCAGGGTTGAGGGTTTAGGGGTTAGGGTTTAGGGTTTAGGGTGCTGAGGGTGTCGGGGTTACAGGGGCTTGGACCAGCTGCATGGCCATGCTTGAAGAATCTCAAGAACCGCACCGCCCTAAACCCGCAACTACCCTAAGACCTAAACCCGAAACCCTGAACCCGAAACCCGAAACCCGAAACCCTGAACCCGACCCCCTGAAACCTAAACCCTAAACCCTAAACCCTAAACCCTAAACCCTAAACCCTAAACCCTAAACCCTAAACCCTAAACCCTAAACCCTAAACCCTAAACCCTAAACAAACCCTGACCCCCAGACCCTAAACCCTAAACCCTAAACCCTAAACCCTAAACCCTAAACCCTAAACCCTAAACCCCCAAGCCCTTGAAAAAACCAAAGCCTCGGGTGACGCCAGGCAATCGCCTCCTGCGAGATCAGGTCTGGGGCTCCAACACCCCCCCTACGCCTTAAGAAGCCTAACCCCCTAACCCAAAAGCCCCCTACAAACTCAAGACTCTCTATGCCCAAGAGCCCACAACCCTGAGACCCTCAACCCGAAACCCACACCTCCACAGGTGCGGAGGCGTAAACCCTGGACCCTGAGCCCCAAGCCCAGAGCCCTGAGCCCGATAAACCCAAAACCCAAAACCCAAAACCCTAAACCCTAAACCCTAAACCCTTAAAGTTCTAAGGTTCCGAAGGGAGGCTTTGAAGCCTTGGCGTCGGTTCTTCGGGGCGAGGTGGTTGGGAGTGTTGGGTGGGGTTTTAGGGGTTTTTAGGGGTTTTAGGGGTTTTAGGGGTTTTAGGGGTTTTAGGGGTTTTTAGGGGTTTTAGGGGTTTTAGGGGTTTTAGGGGTTTTAGGGGTTTTAGGGGTTTTAGGGGTTTTAGGGGTTTTAGGGGTTTTTAGGGGTTTTAGGGGTTTTAGGGGTTTTAGGGGTTTTAGGGGTTTTAGGGGTTTTGGGGGGTTTATGTTTTTGGGGTTTGGGGTTTTACGGGTTTTGGGGGGTTATGGTTTAGGGGGTTCAGGGGTTTTGGGGGGTTATGGTTCAGGGGGTTTAGGGTTGAGGGAACGCCCTGTTGCTGTGCAGCAGGATCGATGATGACATGTGGTCAGCATGGTACAACGACAAGGACATCACCAAGACGGTGCAGGGAAATCTCAAAGGCGCGCGGGCCCTGAGTCTGCCAGGGGATTCATGAAATCTGGGTTTAGGGTTTAGGGTTTAGGGTAGGGATGATCAGGATGACAGGGAACCCCAAGGCACTAAACCCGAACACCCCCGAAACTGAGTCTGGGGAGCGTTGGTCTCCTAGAATGGCCGGGTTTGGGGTTTAGGGTTTAGGGTTTAGGGTGTAGGGACTGTGCCTCAATTGCCGATGCCACCCCATGACCGTCATGGTGTCGTGGTGGGGAGCGGGGGATTTTAAGGTTTAGGGGATTCTTTTGAACTTCTCTATGGACTGCGATAGGGTAGCTACAGGGTTTGAGTACGTGATTCAGGGAGTGGGAACTGTTTTTACATGCTCTCCTTTTTTCCGTGCTTGGGGGCGCTGAGTTTGCTGAAGCCTTGGGTTTAGGGTTTAGGGTTTAGGGTTCAGGGTACTGAGCCCTAATCCCTAAACCCTAAATCCTAAACCGAAACCCTAAACCCCTAAACCCTAAACCCGAAACCCTGAGCAGGCTGGCGAGCGGTCCGACGTCTCAACTTCGAGCTGGTTCCAGGCGGGCGCGCGAACACCCAAACCCTGAAGGCCCGAAATCCCCCAAACCCTACAGGCCCTCAATCGCCCAAAGCCCTAAAGGCCCTAAATCCCCGAAACCCCTAAACCTTAAGCTCTCAACCCCTAAACCCTAAACCCTAAGCCCTAAACCCTAAACCCTAAACCCTAAACCCTAAACCCTAAACCCTAAACCCTAAACCCCTAAACCCTAAACCCTAAACCCCTAAACCCGCAAACCCTTAAACCCTAAACCATCCCAAAGCCGCACCTAAGTACCAGATTCAGGCCTCTTGTCCTGGGGGGTTTCGGGTTTAGGGTTTAGGGTTGAGGGTTTAGGGTTTAGGGCTTAGGGTTTAAGGTTTAGGGTTTATTGTTTAGTCTTGCCGTGCGCGTGCGGTGACAGTTTCAGATGCGAGCCCCGATATGTTGCAAGGAGGGTTTGGGGTTTAGGGTTTCAGGGTTTATGGCTTAGGCTTTGGGGTTTAGTGAGGTTGGCTTTCAGGTTTTCGGTACTTTAGGGTATTTTCGGGTTGAGAGTTTGGGGTTTGTGGGTCTGCGGTCTAGTTTCGCAAGTAGCCAACCCTCGACCGTAAACCCTCGACCCTCAACCCTCAACCCTCAACCCTCAACCCTCAACCCTCAACCCTAAACCCTAAACCCTTATCCCTTGAACCCTCAACCCTAAATGACAGAGCTTCGGGAAGGCATAGGGCTTGGGGGGTTGGGATGTACCCCCTAAACAAGCAGTCCAGGGTTTAGGGTTTAGGGTTTAGGGTTTAGGGTTTAGGGGGTTTAGGGTTGAGGGTTTAGGGTTTAAGGTACCCCCCTATTTGACTGTTTATGAGGGACTGTTAGTATAAAGGGGAGCATCCCGAGCTTCGGGTTGAGCCCCAAAGCAAAAAAAACCCTGAACGCCAACGCAAACCGAACCTTGAAAAGACAAGGATCCCAAACATTGAAGGACGAAGCACGCACCCTAAACCTCAAACCTTAACAGCACCCTAAACCCTAAACCCGAAACCCTTAACCCTAAACTCTATAAACCCTAAACCCTGAACCACGGGCCCCAACACTCAGCAAACCAAGCTTTAAACCCTCGAAAGAGCACAGGAACAACCTGGGCCCTAAATCCCAAACCTTGAGTACGCAAGCGCCTGCACCCCAAAAATCTTCAGACGCAACACTGATGTTCCCCCCTTATACGAACAGTCCTAATCGGGATTATGGTACCCCCCCCCAATTATAATTCCTACTACAGACTGTTCGTATGAAAGGGAGCCTCCAAACACAACCACTTTAACCCACAAGCCAATCCCTTAGACCCTAAGCCCAGGTGCGAAGTTAGCTGTGGCCGGGAGCGACTACAACAAGGACATGAAGTATGGAGGCCTGTTACTCTTACTGCGGCTGACTATGGTGATGATGTTTCTTCTTGCTATGACGATTGCTACTACCAGTAGGGTTGTTATTGCTATGGCCGCTCTTCTGGCCCTTGCTAAGATTGCTATGCTTCCTATCATTGGTACGACGAGTCTTGTTAGTACTACTATGCTTGTTAGTATGGTTTGTGTTATTTGTGTTTTCCTTTTTCTGATATTTCTACAATGCCTTTACTATTGTGACGTTTATGAGTATCATGGCTGCTCTGACTATTCCTACATTCATTTATTGCTAGTACCATTTTTATGACTGTTTTTACAATTGTGGTTGGTGCGTGTATTAATGTCATGACTCTTATTGGCTATTCTATTTTTCAATCTCCACGATTATTACTATTCCAGAATACACGTATTCCTGTTTGTATGATGATTATCGTTACAGTTACCGTGGTTACTATTGTTATTGTTGCTTTACTATCGCTACTTTTACTATTGTTACGATTACTCTGCTTACTATTTGTCGATTTCCCTTATCGTTGTTCTCAGTGCTCTTGTTTTCGATAGCTTCATAATTCCTCTTCTTGTTGTTGGTGCTGTTTTACTCTTGCCATGAATTGTGTTGTTTTTTTGCGGTTCCTATGACTACTACTACCACTACCACTACCACTACCACTACCACTACCACTACCACTACGACGACTACTACTACTACTACTACTACTACTACTACTACTACTACTACTACTACTACTACTACTACTACTACTACTACTAGGGGTATTGCGCGTATTTGACGCTGTGTCATCCTTCATTTTCCATGTTTTCCCATGTTCTTCCAGAGACGAAAACACTGCTATTTGCAGTGTTTTCTGCTCATGCATTGAATGCTATGCCACACTCCGCCAATTCCCAACGGCGACGCCCATGAGGGCCTTTCGATTTTTTGTGAGGGTCTTCGGTTTCCCATGAGGGCCTTTGATTTCCCATGAGGGCCTTGCCCCAATAATTTGTGATTAAAATTGGCTTTGGCTTGGCTTGGCTTGGGGGGGTGGGGGGGGCTTGGGGCTGGGGGGGGGGTGACCTGGGGTTTTGGGTTTAAGGCTATAGGAGTTTTGGCCTGGCACTTCAAGCTTCGGGATTTCTGGTTTTCGGTTTCAGGGTAGACGAGTTTTGAGCTTGCACTTGAAGCTTCGGGGTTTGGGGTTTAGGGCTTAAGGGTACACGGCTTTTGGGCCTCCACTTGAAGCTTCGGGGTTTAGGGTTTAAGGGTCCAGGAAATTTGGGCTTCCACTTGAAGCTTCGGGTTTTGGGTTTTAGGCCTATATCTTCTGAAGATGCTGAAAGTGTGGATTCCTGCCTGACACGTAAAAGCGTTTGAGCGCATGCACATCAACTTCTGTGTCATTCTTGAGAATCCGCTTTCTGTTGTTCGCGAAACCCAGGAGAGACTCCGACTTCAAACAGACATCGATCATGTTCCCCAACTTTCTCCTGCCCCATCCAAGAATGCGATTTAGATCCGTGGCTGTCGGTCTCTGGAGCATGCTCTGTCGACTGTAGACCGCGAGGAACTCGTAGATCTCTGCAGGTGTTGTTCTGCAATGCCGGAAGGGGGAAAACCACACGTAGTTCGTGTACCTGTGGCACTTGGCACAGGATATGAAGCGAAGACCCGCCTTTGTCCCCCGCTTCGTGTTGCTCGGCTTGACTTGGTCGGACTTGCAGTGGCTGCATGTCTTTGGTCTTTCCATGACACCAGCCTTCAGCAGCTCTTGGTAGCATTTGTCCTCATCTTTCAGGATCTCACGCTCAGATTCGATGTCTGCCCGCTTCACGCACGGCTGCTGCTTGCGTTTCCGCGCACCGCTATACTGCAGCCTGGCAGAAACTTTGCTCTCACCGTCCTTGCGAAGACGACGAAGCCGCCGTTGAGGTTCCGCACGCGCATGCCTTTGCACTTTTTCCTGAAGCTCCCGGATGAGCCTACCTGCATAGGTAGTGCAAGTCTCCTGCCGGTGGCCCAGCTGCCCACACACACGGCATCTATGTCTGGGCTGCTTCGGCATGGCTTTCCTTTCGCATTCGAGCATGGAAACAAGCGAAGACAAGTCCGAGATTGCAGCCTTGACCTTACAAGACATGAAATTCCTGTAATTGGCGTCGTCGTTGGGAAATGAGCGCTCTGCCCAAGAACGCTGCTTTTACCGATGGAAAAGGCACTTCGGACGCAGACGGACGCGGCGTCAAATACGCGCGGAGCGCGTACTACTACTACTACTGCTACTGCTACTACTAGTACTACTAGTAGTAGTAGTAGTAGTAGTAGTAGTAGTAGTAGTAGTAGTAGTAGTAGTAGTAGTAGTAGTAGTAGTAGTAGTAGTAGTAGTAGTAGTAGTACTACTACTACTACTACTACTACTACTACTGCTACTGCTACTGCTACTGCTACTGCTACTGCTACTGCTACTGCTACTGCTACTGCTACTGCTACTGCTACTGCTACTGCTACTGCTACTGCTACTGCTACTACAACTACTACAACAACAACAACTACTACTACTACTACGACTACTTCTGCTACTACTACTACTTCTGCTACTGCTACTACTACTGCTACTACTACTACTACTACTACTACTACTACTACTCCTCTTTACAAGTTTCAAGCACTTAGCACTCTTATTCTATGATTGCTGCTTCCTTCTACTGCTACTACTCCTACGACTCCCAGAAGGGAATGTTGCCTTCTGCTCGAGCTCGTCTTCTGCCAGGGCAGCTGGACAACAAAGGTAACTCGAAGCGAGTTGTGCGTTCAATGGCCATGGGTGAACCATCAGCAGGAGCTTGTCTGGTCTGGTGTGCCGAGGGCTGCATGAAGCAAGACCAGGACCACCAGCGTGCGTGGTTGAGGAGCATCGCCGAGAGCCATTGCGCCAGATGCCACTTCTGCAAGAAGGCCCAGAGCTTTCTAAGGCCGGGGGCTCTGCAAGGGTCTGCAGAGGGTGCTGTGGCACGATGTACCGTCTCATACGAATTCGGTCAATCCTACCCCCAGAAGCAGGGGTAGGTGTAGGTGTAGGTGTAGGTGTAGGTGTAGGTGTAGGTGTAGGTGTAGGTGTAGGTGTAGGTGTAGGTGTAGGTGTGTGTGTGTGTGTGTGTGTGTGTGTGTGTGTGTGTGTGTTTGTTTGTGTTTTTTTGAAGCGCCTGAACAAGAGCATGAGGGCATTCTTGAGTCCCACTCTCCCTAAACCCTAAGCCCTAAACCCTAAACCCTAAACCCTAAACCCTAAACCCTAAACCCTAAACCCCAAACCCCCCCCCAGGTGGCTGAAGGGCAAGAGCGTGACGGTCGTGCTTATCGCAGACTGGCGTGAGGTGAAACCCATCATGGAGGGGCTCGATGCAGAGCAGCGGCTCGGACGCGGGAGTCGGCGCTCTTCTTTTAGGGTTTAGGGTTTAGGGTTTAGGGTTTAGGGTTTAGGGTTTAGGGTTTAGGGTTTAGGGTTTAGGGTTTAGGGCTGAGGGCTTAGGATTTAGGGTAAAGAGCCCCAACAAAGTAGAAACTATTCTTCCCTATGAGGGTAATCTAGGGATGATGATTTTGTTTTTTTTGGGGGGTTCTTAAGCAAATATGGTAGTCTTCCTGCCCTTTTTATAGGCTTGAGGCTCCCTTTTTTGAATCTTTTAACCAAAAAGGGCACCCTGTTTTATTCCTGGGTTACTCCTGGGTCACCCGAAACCCTAAGCCCGAAGCCCTAAGCCCTAAACCCTAAACCCAAACCCCAAACCCTAAACCCTAAACGCTATTTATTTCTGGGTCGAGGCAAGCAGATGTTCACATGTACATCACGGCCCGATGGGACAAGTCTTACTTCAATGCGCTGAGTTGGGTTCAAGAACATGCCAGGCACGGACCACACGCAAGCGTTTGCACTTCGATCAGGGCTTAGGGCTTAGGGTTTAGGGCTTAGGGTTTGGGGTTTAGGGTCTGGGGTTTAGGGTTTGGGGTTTAGGGTTTAGGGTTTAGGGTTTAGGGGGCGTTTCAGGGTCTCGGGTGGTGTTCAGGGTTTGGGGGCCTGGGGGCCTAAACTCTGAGCCAATGCAGGGGCAAGCAGATCTCCATGCTTGAGAACTTCTCCCGGCAGAACGTGCAAGAGGTGGTCCGGCGTCATCTGCCGTGCGGTGGTGGAGAGCTGCAAACGCCATGTCAGCAGTGATTCGGCGAAAGCATGCAGCTTTCGTTTGGGGTTTAGGGTTTAGGGTTTAGGGTTTGGGGTTTAGGGTTTAGGGTTTAGGGTTTAGGGTTGAGGGTTTAGGGTTTAGGGTTTAGGGTTTAGGGTTTACGGTTACTGACCAGCCCACAGAATCTCTTCCATCCACGACGGAGGTCAGGTCCCTTTTTCCACCGAAAAGAGGTCGCCTCTGAATAGCCGAAGCCAATCTGGGCACTCTCTCCCCGACATTTTTAGAGTTTAGGGTTTAGGGTTTAGGCCCTCAACCCTCAACCCTCAACCCTCAGCCCTCAGCCCTCAACCCTAAACCCTCAACCGTCAAAACCCTGAATCCAAAACCCTAAGCCCGAAGATTGCCCCAAGAATGCTTCTAAACAATTCTTTCGGGTTTAAGGTTAGGAGTTTAGGGTTAAGGGTTTAGCGTTAAGGGCTTAAGGTTTAGGGTTTAGTGTTTACGGTTTAGGATGATTGGGGGGGGGGGGGGGTCCGAAGATAGGGGGCACTTTTTTGGGGGCTTCCTATAATAAGGATCATAAGATTTGGGGGTCTTTTCGGGGTACCCCCTATGTTGGGAAATCGCCATATAGGCCGGGTGTTTCGGGATTTAGAGAGCCTGCCAACCCTCCACCTCTCTAGGGTTTAGGGTTTAGGGTTTAGGGTTTTGAGTTTAGGGTTTAGGTCCCGACAACGCTGCCGAGGACGGGTTTTGTGAAGCCTGGGCCGTTGCCGCCGCTGCTTTGATGAACCCTAGATGTCCATAACGCCATGAAACCCTGTAAACCTTTGTAACGCCATTTAGGCTCCAATACCCTTCATAATCCCTTTAAGCCCCACATTTCAGCCGCCTTTACCCTGAAGCCTCCTAAGCGCCCGCCATGCCCGCAACTTCCACAACCGGCTCCATTGACGTGGATGGCTATACCCTAAACCCTAAACCCTAAACCCGAAACCCTAAACCCAAAACCCAATAGTACCCAGTGTAACTCCTGAGGGTCTGTATGGTTTTCTGGGGCAGCGGAGGCTCATAGGGCTTCTAGGATCAGGCTTCAAGGGACTCAGGGGTTTAGGGTTTAGGGTTTAGGGTTTAGGGTTTAGGGTTTAGGGTTTAGGGTTTAGGGTTTAGGGTTTAGGGTTGAAGAGACACCCAAAGGCACGCCAATGGCAAGCCCCTGGTCATGTCCTGGTGGCTGTCTTACGGGAACCTGAAGAGCGCGCTGCAAGACCCCGAGATGGCCTTTATTGTGGAGCAAGCCTTGAAGCAGATGATGAGCCGGAACGAGACCTACGAAGACTGAGCTCCCAAATATTTAGGGTTTAGGGTTTAGGGTTCAGGGTTTAGGGCGGCCGGGACCTGTGCAGATTGACCCCGATGGCTGCGATTTGGCTGTTTGGTAACTCAATCTAGGGACTCGGCCCCCATGTTGCCTGGGAAGCTCTCACTCCAATCCGGCTTTGCTGCTGGCTTCTTTTCAAGTGCTGCTGTAGCATCCCGCATTCTTTTGCCACATCGCACGACAGCGACAAAGCCGGAGACGCAAGCTTCAGGGCATGCACGTCTCACCCAAACCCTCCGGCCATTCGTGGCGAACCAAACCTCTCCCAGTGTGCAGACGTGCGCAACAGCGCGTCCGCCGACGTGTTGGCGGTCTGTTGTCAGTGCCAGGATACCCTGAGAAAGTTCTTGATCACCAGTGTTCAAATCTTTACAGAAAAAGAGCTGAAACTGCAAATCTTCGATAGTCCTGGCCCTAGGGCCCCGCCATCGATTGAAGTTTGGCGAACAGTTCGTAAGCTCTGCTGGCAGGCCTGTGCTTCGAGAATCAGACCTGTAAACCCTGGGCCCTTGCGACATTTGATATTTTCCCCTATTGGGTGTAAGAGGTTCCTACTCAGGAATATATTTCAGAGGCCTTCAAGGGCCATCCTATAACAAGCAATAATCGAACCTCTAGACCCCCAACGCTCCTAAACCCCCTGAGAGGACTGGGGTGTTTTTTTGGGACTCTTGGGCTTGGAGTGCTTGGCAGCAGTTTGGGTGCGGCCTTCGAAGATGTGCCGCACCGGAAGGAATCGTTGTCCTCTTCCGAAACCTTGCGCGCCTCTTCCGGGCTGCCATATTGAAACAAGGGGCCTCTGACATAGTCCCCCAAGTAGTAGGATTCCCTTAGAATAAGGACCCCAAATGGTAGGGTTCCCTTATAGTAAGGATCCCAACAAGCAGGATCCCTTATAATCAGGACCCCAGTAAGGTATTTCTAATTTTAGAAGCCCTCCATGTGGGGAGCCCAAAGCGAGTAGCAAAGTTGGGACATACCTTGGTGGCTGTCATTGAAGTTTGCTGTGCGACCTGCGCACAAGTCAGTCTCTTTTGCGAATTTTTCCGAAGGAGCCTGAACGAGGCTCCTTGAAGATTGACGCCGGCGGCTGTGAATTGGCTGTTTGGCCACTCAATCTCTGGCTCGACATTTGGCTTTGGCGTGGAGTGTGGAAATCTTCTGCGCCAATCCGACTTTGCGCTCGGCTGTGCAATCAAACACAAGTGCCCTCAGTCTAGGGTCCAAAAGTTTTTGGGGTGTAGGGCTGCGCGTTGTGTGGAGGCCCCCACAGATCCAGGGTCTAGGGTCTAGGGTCTAGGGTTTAGGGTCTGGGGTTGAGGGCTGAGGGTTCTGTTAGCCGTTCTCAGGTTGTGCTTTAACCTGCAAGCCAAAGAACCCAAGACCACTGCCAAGTTAGACGAGGTGGTCAGTTCTCAAAATTATAGTCCCCGTTTCTGGAACCCTAAACAACTGAGCCGTTGTTGGAAATCATGTTGTATTGTTATGAATACTCAGACTCCAGAAGGAACAAAGAGAAACTGGCTAATGGTACCCCCAACAATGGTGCAGGTTAGGGGCTGCCTCATCATCCTAACCTCCAAAAGGTTTCGGGGCTTACTTGGGGCCTACTTAGGTATATAGGTACTGTGGCAGGTACATATAGGGGTTAAGGGTTATATAGGGGAAGAAGATTAAGGGTCCCTTCTAGGGGGGTCCCTCCTTTTAACCCTTAACAAAAGTGGTCCTAAACCCTAAACCCTAGACCCTAGACCCTAAACCCTAAACCCTAAACCCTAAACCCTAAACCCTAAACCCTAAACCCTAAGCCCTAAGCCCTAAGCCCTAAACCCTAAACCCTAAACCCTAAACCCTGAGCCAACCCTAAACCCTAAACCCTAAACCAGAGTGTAGAGAGTCTGGCAGGTGGCTTCTGGGCTGACTGCCCGGGCTTCTTGTCCAAGGACAACATCGCCGTTTCCTGGGAATCGCCCCTGGGGGGCGCAGTTGGCGTCGCATCTTTTTGCTCTTTCGGGCTAAGGTTTTGAGGGTTTAGGGTTTAGGGTTTAGGGTTTAGGGTTTGGGGTTTGGGGTTTAAAGGTTTAGGGTTTAGGGTTTGGGGTCTAGCAGTAAACCCCCACCTCCTCCTCCACCCCCTCCCATGAAAGCATGTAGGGCGTGCATGTGGAGTTTAGGGCCGAGGGTTTCGGCCCAAGTTTCGGCCCAGAACCCTAAACAACAAAATTTATGGCTTAGGGTTTAACCCCAAAGCCTTGCTAGCTATGACAGGGGATGAAGCTAAGCTTGCTGCCGATGCATCTGCCTAAACTCTATGCAACCCTAACCCTAAGCCCTGAACCCTGAACCTTAAACCCCAAACCCCAAACCCCAAACCCCAAACCCTGAACCCTAAACCCTAAACCCTAAACCCTAAACCCTAAACCCTAAACCCTAAACCCTAAACCCTAAACCCTAAACCCTAAACCTTAAACCCTCAGGTATTGCACCACGGGCGCCCCGGACGCGCTCCACAAAAAGGGAGGGGGAAGTGGCTGGAAGCCGGCTGTGGCTCGGCGAGGGTTTAGGGTTTAGGGTTTAGGGTTTAGGGTTTAGGGTTTAGGGTTTAGGGTTTAGGGTTTAGGGTTTAGGGTTTAGGGTTTAGGGTTTAGGGTTTAGGGTTTAGGGTTTAGGGTTTAGGGTTTTGGGTTTTGGGTTTTGGGTTTTGGGGCCGAAGAGGGTGTAGTGGGCGTAGGCTTCAGGTCGCTTTCTACTCTTGCAGGGTTTACGTCGGCTTTCGTTGTTTTATGGTTCGGAGCTTTGCAGCATGCGCGCCCTCTCTGCACCGAACGCTAAGTTCCAGCGCACGAAGCGGCTCAGGGATTCGCGCTTTCTACACCCTAAACCCTAAACCCTAAACCCTAAACCCTAAACCCTAAACCCTAAACCCTAAACCCTAAACCCTAAACCCTAAACCCTAAACCCTAAACCCTAAACCCTAAACCCTAAACCCTAAACCCTAAACCCTAAACAAAACTGAAGCCAGCAGCAGCTGCACCTAAAGAGCTTTAGGGGCTGAAGGCCTGCTACAAATCCCCACCCCAAGCCTTGAATACTAAGCCCCTCCTCCCCGCCCATGCACTACAAACTACACCCCAAGCCCTTAATCTTAGGGTTTTAAGGGTTCAGGGTTTAGGGTAAAACCCTAAACCCTAAACCCTAAACCCTAAAACCCGAAATGCCGCAGACGTTCAACCTCGGCCGCCATTGGTCACCGGGCACACTTGGCGACGTACCCTGGGCTCTGTAGCGTTTCGAAGGCTTCGGACGTAGGGCTTCGGGTTAAAGGTTTGTAGGGTTTAGGGTTTAGGGTTTAGGGGAGGGTGTAGGGTTGAGGGTTTGTAGGCTTCAGGGTTTAGGGTTTTGCGTTTTTAGGGTTCAGTGTGTTTTTGCGCCTGCCACGCGCAAACAACTCCGGCTAGTTTGGGGTCCGGTGCGTGCAGGGTTTAGGGTTTAGAGTTTCGGGTTTAGGGTTGAGGGCTACAACCCAAACCACCTTAACCCTCAGCCCCCAAACCCTACAACTCCTGCAGCAGACCCCTTCCCCTTGCCTGCAGAGAGCATGATCCTAAACCCTAAACCCTAAACCCTAAACCCTAGTTGGGTTTTCATGTAGGACGCCGCAGTCAGCAAGCCGAGGCAAAGAAGAAGCACTGTGTTTTCCGTGCTGAGCCACTGCCAAAGCAGGCGCCGGGTGACGTTGCAGCAAGCCTCTGAACCCCCCAAATCCCCCGCCCACCCCACTCAGCAAAAATCCATGGGTTTAGGGTTTAGGGTTTAGGGTTTCGGGATACCCAGTCGTTACTCCCTCCGCGGACATGCGCCGTGCAGGGAAAGGAGGGCGAAGTCAAGTGCATGCCCTTCGCCACGCAGGTGGCAACCCGGACGCACCCTGGGTTCGCTCTGTGTCATGGGATTCTTGTGGGGTTTAGGGTTTAGGGTTTAAGGTTTAGGGTTTAGGGTTTAGGGGTTAGGGTTTAGGGTTTAGGGGCGACCCCCTACCCTAAGTAGCGAGACACCGGCACCATCTGGGCTTGGATTTGGAGTCGGCGGGTCGTGGCGGGGGTGGTGAAGGGATCCCATGATCGGGGCTGAGGCGATGGGAATTTGGGGTTTAGGGGTCGAGGCTTTATAGGGCTTAGGTTCAGGAGAGGGTTTGGGGTTTAAACCCTAAACCCTAAACCCTAAACCCTAAACCCTAAACCCTAAACCCTAAACCCAAAACCCTAAACCCAAACCCCTAAACCCTAAACCCTAAACCCTAAACCCTAAACCCTAAACCCTAAACCCTAAACCCTAAACCCTAAACCTTAAACCCTAAACCCTAAACCCTAAACCCCCTTAAGCTCTAACACCTGGAGCTTGAGGATGCCCTTCGCTGGCGTGAGAAATGCCGGGGCCCCCAGGGGCGCCTCTGGCAACCGTGAGCTGCTACAGATAGGGTTTAGGGTTTAGGATTTGGGGTTTAGGGTTTAGGGTTTAGGATTTGGGGTTTAGGGTTTAGGGTTTCGGGTTTTGGGTTTCAGGTTGAGGGTTTAGGGTTTGGGGTCTGGGGTTGAGGGTTTACGGTTTAGGTGTTTGGGGTTAGGGTTGAGGGTTTAGAGGTTCGGCTGCTTGTGTTGGTGGGTGTTGGGTTAGGGATCTACTTTGGCAACCTCCGGAGATTCAAAGCTCCGAGTCTGAGCCCCGAACCACCCTAAAGCCTAAACCCTAAACCCTAAACCCTAAACCCTAAACCCTAAACCCTAAACCCTAAACCCTAAGCCCTAAACCCTAAACCCTAAACCCTAAACATCCCTAAGCCCTAAACCCTAAACCCTAAACCCCCAGCCCCAATCCCTAAAATACAGCCTCATCCTAAACCTGCTTCCACCATAAGATTTTTTGGGCAGGCGCGGCGAGGCCCACTTGAGTGAGGGTTTGGG